TCTCCCTCTCTCTTACTTGTTTCTCTTCTCGGTGTTTTAAGATTTTTTGAAAATATCTTGCAATTCAAACTATATTATGATAAAAAATGAAAAGGTGAAAATATGAAGTGCATCATGCGAATACTCCCTTCATATTAACTCAGTAGATTATTTTTTGTCAATTCGCTTCCATATTACATTAAAACCTCTCAAATTCAAGGCAACCGTTTACTTCGTAAAAATGATTCCTAAAAACAATGTGAAATTTCTTGAAAATTTCTGTTAAGACGATTTCCGAAAATTTTTTTGAGGAAAATTTTGACCGGCCATCTTCTTTGGAATCATATGTTCAAGTTAGACAAAAAGGCCAAATATATAATTGTAAATAATTCAATTGCTGCTCTCTGAAATATTTTCTCTATGGTTTGCAACCACAACACTTATGGTTGGATAGTATTGAGAGATCCACCTGAACAGTAGTCTTATCCTTACCAATCCTTCCGAACCAAAACAAAAACAATTTGTTTGTCAGGAAATATCTAATTCCCCAGATTTATTGAAATATTCGTATTTTCTCAAGTTTCAATGAGTTCTTTTATATCCAGAGACATAAATGTTTACAAATTGAGTCTGTTTTCACTAGAGATTCAGAGTGCTCCGCACCAAATATTTCAATTTATAACTTTAATCTGTAATGTCTTATAAAACATTGTCTCTAGACCTAAAACGGCCATGCACGGCATTTCAATTTGTTTTCTTCGTCTAACGCATTAACACAGTTGCCTAAATAGGATTGTATGCTGGCCAAAGTGGTCGAAAAAACCCGAGATAATGTTAATTATTATTAATTTCTCGAAAAAAGCAGTTTTATCCAATTTTATCGTTTAAAAAAAAGATTTGAGATTTATTTCACGTTGTTATTTCATTTTTTGCTTACTAATTTCAATCTAGGAACATAAATAGTACAACATCCCGCCATAGCAATAAAGGAATTGAGTCTTTGTCACAAAATCTACTTTTCTAATCTCTATATCTTTGCAACCCAATGTCGTAGACCTTAGATATTTCAAACTATGAATTCTAATAGATCAAACAATCTAAGTTTGAAATATCAAAGGTTTACACCACCAGGTCGCGAAGATAAACGGATAAGAAAATTTGAGTTTGCAGCAAAGACTCAGTTTCTTTGGGGATTCATGGGTCGGTTATATTTTTTCCAAAGGCTGTTATATTATGAAACATTTGAATTTAGACAAAACAATTAATTTTTTAAAGTTAAATTGCACTGTTTACATGATCGATAATTACGGTGTCAAATATATTGATGTTTTCTGTGGTAAAAACCGTTTTCTCCAGCAATAGAAAATATTGATTTTGCATAAAAAGCTGATAAATACATTTTATAATAGTCGATGCATGCATTTATTTTTAATGATGGAAGCTGGGGTTAAACACCAAACAATTTAACGGGGTTCATACAGAGATCACAATAATCTCAAAAGAAGATGATTCACATGGTGAGTATACTGTCTACAGTATCTATCTTCCTGAAAGATGGAATTTTAAATGAATCGGAGTAGACAGAGGATAGGTAAATCAGAGATGTACAGAGATTTAGTCATGCAGAGATAAAGAGAAATATTATAGAGATACTGATATTTTCAAATAGAGATACAAATACAGATGTAATAAAATAAAAGTTTTTGTTGGCTTTTCTCTTGTGAGAGATACAGAAGAAATACATATCTCATCATTATTCAATTTTTTAAACTTTGGACATTTTTGGAATCTATGGAACCTTTCCTATCGATATAATAGTCAAATTTAAAAATGTCCTAACTTCTTCATTTTTTGTGCTGCAATACCACAATAATTGATATCATTGGTTAAAAAAATTTCCAACATTTGAAACTTAAATTTTGTCTTAAAGGGCGTTGTTTGGGACACCCTGTCCATAGAGATACAGAGATGTTCATACTACATCGTACTATATAGAGATACAGAGATGTTCATACTACATCGTACTACATAGAGATACAGAGATGTTCATACTACATCGTACATACAGAGGTAAGGGATATGAATATGTAGAGATTAAACAAAACTGTACGAGCTACAATATTCTTCTCCATCCCATTTGTATTGTAAACCTCCTTCAATTTTTTTTCTTTTAGAAACGAAGTTCTTACCACAAAATCAAATTTTTTAATACCTATATCTTTGCAACTTGATTATGTAATCCTTTGATATTTCAAACTTGACTATATAATCTAACAGAATTAATAATTTGAAGTATAAAAAGTCTACGACATCCGGTTCCATAGATATAGGGATTAAAAATCAGAGTTTGAGACAATGACTCGAAGTTCCTTTCTCCTGTTTCTGTAACAAAATCCGTTATGTTTCAATCTTTGAACTGTGTCTGGTTCTCTTCCTTAAAACAATTATGTCTCCACCTAAAAATGTTGTCCTACATTTTTTTACACTTGCACAAAACATCTGTTAATTATATTATATTATTTTTCCCTCGTTTTCTTGTTTATTTTCCCTCTCCCAGCGCGTTATATTCTCGTTATCTTCCTCTCTAGAAAATGAACATATATGTAAATTGTTGAGACCGCAGTGAACAACATCATTAAGGATAATCTTTGTTGTCTAGTGGGACGGATATAGCTGGAGAAGGAGGATTTCTATACCGGTGATTGAACCAATTTAGCCCTTGGAATAATGTCGGTTATCCTTTCTCTTCCCTGTACCAACCACCCACCCTTTCCTCTTCTAGGTTTCTAATAATAGATCACTTTGTATATCTACCCTATAGTTTACTCTTAAAGTCTTTACTAACCAGATTCAGAGTTCATATTTTAAACAGATCATCAACAGAAAATGGAGATAATGGAGAATATATGAAAGATAATAATTTTTAATCTGATTCAACAAAAATTAGTTAAAATGCAGAATAGTTCAAGGTTCAGCGCACATGCTCTTATATATGACATTTTTACAGATTCATGATTTTTTTTCAATAGGGCTAAACATTCATTATGTCTCACATAAATAAATGTTAGGGTCTAAACTCTTAACTAAGGAAACTGTGCCATTTTTGGACCAATTTTAATCAATTCGATTATCTTTTATGTGTAGTAGTTATTTCGAAAACCTTATGATATATAATTTATAATATATATCTACATAGTACATTGTACATCTATTTCTAGAATATATATATGAGAGTTGGGAGTTTATAAATCTTGATATGACTTAATGAAATTTCTCTTAGTTCTTTCATGATAATCAGAACAGTAAATGTTTCAGCTTACTCACTCTACCAGATTCCAGATTCAGCTTCAAGGGGTTCAATACATTTCTCGGAGAGAGTAGGGTGGCCCTGAAAAAAACCCTGTAAGGTGGTCTTTTTCTTCAGAATAGATATATATATGAAACTAAGAAAATATAAAATATTTTCTTTTTTGACCATTATTTCGCGTGCCGCCAGAAAAAACTTGATTTTTTGTTTTTGGCCATTTTTTAAGTTGAGAGTGAAAATTTTCGCCAAATTTTCAGTTTTATATAATTTTGGAAATCACCTTGGCAACTTAAAAAATGTGTTTTTCATTTTTTCTGTTTTCTGTTTTCTGTTTTCATTTTTTTGTTTTCTGTTTTCAGTTTTCTGTTTTCTGTTTTCTAAAAGAGTCAAAATTAATGACTAAAGACTAAAAAACTAGATTTTTAAATTTTAAGGAACAAAATTAAAGGATTAGAACAGGAATTTAGGAACAATTAAAAGATTGTTCAGGAATTAGGAACAAAAATAAAGGATTAGGACAGGAATTTAGGAACAATTAAAAGATTGTTCAGGAATTAGGAACAAAAATAAAGGATTAGGACAGGAATTTAGGAACAATTAAAAGATTGTTTAGGAATTAGGAACAAAAATAAAGGATTCGGACAGGGATTTAAGACAATAAAAAGATTGTTCAGGAATTAGGAACAAAAATAAAAGATTAGGACAGGGATTTAGGAACAATAAACAGATTGTTCAGGAATTAGGAACAAAAATATAGGATTAGGACAGGGATTTAAGGTGGGTCGGACACAGGAACAGGAACAATAATAGGAACATTAGCAATTTAAGAACAAAAAGAAATTACTAGCTATACTTAAATGCATGAAAATTAGGAACAATATTACAATTTTGATAGATGAGTATTGATTAAGGAACATTACTAGATATCAACAATATTATAACTTAAGTCTAGTTTCTTACAAATTTCTGATTCTAAATTTATCGTTAACAATAACATTTATCAAATTGGGAACATTTTTTGCCTCAAAATCTCAGTCAGGGGGGGGGGGCGAATGTCCCCCCGCCCCCCCCCCATTGTATCCGCCCCTGGTCCATCAACCTTCCCTGGGGTCACGTGAGTTCCAGTTTTGTCATTTTGGATACAAACAACAGACAAGACAATATTTTTTCTTTTTTTGCTTGTATGCAATGATTATAAAACTTATTTGATATTTATGTATATTGTATATATAGGCAATATATTTTATATATTTATAAACATTTTGTTACATTTACAAAACCACTTTATTAGGTCACTAAATTTTTTATTTTTGTTAGGACTTTCTCGCCAAATGTTGACCCAGAACAATTGGGCTAGCAATTTAACAGCGGGTTCTTTGTAGAAATCATACGAAGGCATGATACAGGCAGGAGATACGGGAGCAGAAATAAGAAATGATACTATTCTTATTACTTTTTTACTATGAGAGAGCAGAGTTTGTGTCTTGTTTCAGTCCTTCCTACAATTTGAACATTTTTTAAACATAAATTTTACCTATGTTTACGTTATGCTATATTGTAAATATATCATATAAAAATTTAAGAAATAGGAAATAAATTTGGGTATTTTTAATATATAAAAAATCTAACTATTTAATGGAATGTATGAGGGAAAGGCTGTGCCGGGTGTACCGTTCCGACCAGACGTCCCGGCCTGCTCACTACTACTTAGTCAGTAGACAGACAACCGCCACCAAGAGTAGGTTAATGTAGTCCAGTCTGTGGGCCAGTTAGCCCTAGACACAGGCTTAAAATGTTGATAAACCTGGACCCTCGGGGGCCTGGTCCTCCATTAAAAATCCTTCTTTTTCTTGAGCTTATAGTGATCTCTAGTTGTAATACATTATTAAACTACGACGACGTAGATATTGAAGAAAATCTGACTGAAACTGATCTAGAAGAGAGTTCAGAGTTTCAGTTTACAAGTCTATCTTACAACGCAACCATCGGTGAGAACAGTGTTGGAAAGGTGTATGTGGAATCCCACCAAAAAATGGGAATATTCAACGCTGATCCTGATGTTAACATTAAATATAAGATTGTCGACGGTGACCACGAATTCTTTTTTAAAGCTGAATCGGAGCAGGTCGGAAACTTTGTGTTTTTACTCATCCGAACCCGAACCGGGAATATAAATGTTCTCAACCGAGAACGAACTGAATCCTATCAGCTAACAGTGAGAGCAACTTTTCGTGATTCAACCCGGCATAGGATTCGGGATATTAAAGCTCGTACGGTTGTGAATGTCCAGATCTTGGATACTAATGATCTTGATCCGTTCTTCAATCCTTCCTCTTACAGGGTTTCAGTTCCAGAGGATCATCCCTTACATGCCAGTATTCTCAGGGTAAATGCTGAGGACGCTGATAGTGGAATTAACGGAGAGATTTACTACAGTATTGCAGAGGATACGGATATGTTTACAATTCATCCGGTTTCAGGACTTATATCTCTAGCTAGGAATCTTGTGTACAGTGAGAAACCCAACCATAGGATAACAGTAGAGGCCAGGGATAGAGGAACTGTTTATTCCTATGGTCCAAGGAGGGTGGATACAGCCACGGTTTCTATCTCTGTGGAGCAAGTGAACAAGTTTGATCCGATTATGAAGATTCAACATCTTCCCGAGGTAGTGGAACAATCCCATACAGATATATACGCGATCATTCATGTTACAGACCCGGATCCGGGTCAACACGGAGAGGTAGCAGGACTAGAGATCATTGAAGGAGATCCTGATGCTCATTTTAGGGTTAGACCCGGAGCTGATCCTTCCGAGTTCAATATAGAGGTTCTCAAACTACTGGATAGAGAGATAGCTCCTAAAGGATATAATCTCACTCTTAAAGCCATGGATAATGGGATACCACCCAGGTATGTAAAGAGGACATGTTTAAAATTGTAATTGATCTAGAATATATTTTAGATGATTAGCTGTGCAAATTTTTCTAAATTTTTTTGTCTAGGTGGTTAAGCCTTTTCAAAATAAACTGAATTTATGTACAAGTACGTGGGTTTACAAATATATAAATGGAAAACAAAATATCATTGAGATAACCAGAATTTCTTTATTCTGATTTTCACTAAAATTGCATTAAAAAGTATATTGGTTTTAAATCTGACCTGTGTTGCCTAATTTGATAAATAAACCGTTGGACTTTTTCAATAATTCTTTTTTTAGAAGGTGTTAATAAATGTTATCATGTTGACCCAGAATACGGGTTGTATGTATGTATTGTGAATGAAGAGAGGTATTTGTGAATCACAAAAGGAAATATTTACTTAAACCGTGAATCATTGTAAATTGTATTGTAAGAATACGATCAGCTGATCCTGTATTCATCTTATACATTCCTTACACTTTGTATACCGTACTTATTACAATATATATACAAAGGGATGTGCACATGTGGGGGGGGGGGGTCAGGGCCCCCTGATGTTTTTGGTAAGCTTTTACCAGATTATAAGGTCTAGATATAATTTTAAAATATGTTTGATGCATGATGTTTTCAATTAAAATGTATTAATGGTTAATATATCTTTCTGTTTATTTTTCATTAATTAACGAAAAGGGAATATTACATTGAACATAATTCATTTAATTTATTTTTGAGGATTTTAATGCAAGTTATAATCCTCCAGAGCAAGATTACTCCAGGTTTTGTTTTTAATTTATATCAACTCTAGAAATAAAGTTGATAAAAAGAAATGAGAAATAGTTTAGAATCAACTATTAGAAGCAACCTTTAGCTTGTACTTCTAATTGAACAAGTAAATTCTTAAATAACAAGTTGTTCAGTTTTATATTACACTGGCTTTTTTAAACATTTTTGGACAGGGTAATACAAAGTATGACGGGTAATGCAGAAACAAAATGTTCAAGCTAAATTTACATACATACATGAACAGCGTAATACAAAAATAAATTGATAAAAGACATGGTAATGCAAAAGTAAGATGTTCAAGTAATATATGACAAGGTATGTAGCAAATTAATGTTCAAACAATATGTAATAGGTTATAACAATAACCAAATATATTAATATATATTTAACGGCGCTTAGGATCCATTTGATTTTGATTCAGATCTTTGATCCGCACTGGAAAAAAATGGATCCGGATCCAGGTCATGAACATTTCTTTAAGATTTACTGATTTTTTTTTAACATAAGAAGAATTTTGAAATTATATTTATTCTTTTTAATACCAAAACTTAATGAACCTCACAGAGATCATGACATTTTTGATTATCTCTATTTTTTAACAGTTCAGGTTTTGGTTTTAAGAGCAAAATATTTTTTCTCTCATTTTTTTGATGATATTTTGACCCTTGGATCGGGATCCGTAGATCCGTTCATTTTTACGGATCCGAATCCGGTAAGCCAAAATGTTGCGGATCCAACGGATCCGGATCCTAAGGACTGATTTTAAAATGGTAAAATATTTCCTAGTGTAATGTGAAAAATGGTATTTACAGACTCGCATGTTAATCGACATCGAGTTTTATCCTATAAATTCTTGTGTTTATAGTTTACAGGTTCTAATTAAATATGTATAAAAGTATTTATCGCTCCGGGTTTCATGTTTAGCTTGTAGTAGACCTGTGTTTACAGGTTTATATTAGAGACCTCAGGTTTCAAATTTTAATCATGAACCTTTCACCTTTAGCTTGAAAGCTTTACACTTGGTTTATATTATATGTAAATATGTAAAGGTTAAGTATAATTTATATGGAAACGAATCTTAAATCTAAGAGTTAATAAATGTATAAACAAATTTCTTATAAATCAATTTTTCTTAATGAAGAATTCAATATGTTATGCAAGAATGTAATGCAAGGAAAGTTAATTGCAGTTGCGTATACTCTGCGTACATATTGAAACCAGTTCTCTCTGGGCGGAATTTGTAAACAAGAAAAATTCCTCAGTGTTCGTTTAGTATCCGAGGAGGTTAAAAGCATTGAATTTTGATAATTTTCATAATTCACATAATAGTTTCCTATGACCAGAATTTTTCATTGATTATTTATGTGAAACATGGATCCCATGTCAGGCTTCGACATCCGTCTTGTGTTTACATTACCGCCCAGTGACAGTACACTGCAGTACAAAAGATGCGTACACCTCTGAAATAACTTTCCTTGCATTAAATCCTTGGTCGCAACAGTGCACTGTTAGCAGTGAAGGATAATTTTAGATTTTTTGTTTTGTTTTATTCTTTGTGCAATGCAAAGTATTCCAATTTCTTTAAATGTTGAAAATGTAGAATTTGAGCTCTGCTGCTGCAGACATTAATGAATTTAACATTTAAAATATTTAGGTCGAGCTATAAAGAAGTGCATGTTAGACTAGCAGATCTCAATGATCACCCACCAGTCTTCGACAAAGAAGAATACGAAGTTAGGATTCCAGAATCTGCTCTTCCAAACACTCCACTAACTAGGCTTAAGGTAGAAATATCTTAATATTATTCTATTTGCATTTTTCAGACTATTCGTAGACATCGCTACCTTCACTCACTCGTCTAAATTCCTAAATCATATCCCATAACTCGTATCCTACTCCATTTATTTAATCTTACTCCCTCCTTACTCCAATTTTATCAAATGTATCCTAGTCCCTCCATGACTCATATCTAACTTCTTTCATATAGTTGGTGGAAGGTTGAACCAACTCAGATTAGAAATAAACGATGGAGACCACTTTTCAGTTTATATATTTCTACACTCTAGATCCACTAAATTTAAGAACAACTTCTTTCACTCATCCTACTCCCTCCACTCAATTCCTACTCCCTCCACTCATATCCTACTCCCTTCACTCATATCCTACTCCATTTAGTCACATCCCACTCCTTGTATTTATATCCTACTCCTTCCACTCATATCCTACTCCATTTACTCACATCCCACTCCTAGTATTTATTTTCTACTCCTTCCACTCATATCCTACTCCATTTACTCACATCGCACTCCTTGTAGTTATATCCTACTCCTTCCACTCATATCCTACTCCATTTACTCACATTCCACTCCTTGTATTTATATCCTACTCCCTGGACTCATATCCTATTCCTTCTACTCATATCTTACTCCTTCCACTAATATCCTACTCCATTTATTCACATCCCACTCCTTGTATTTATACCCTACTCCTTCTACTCATATCTTACTCCCTCCACTCATTTCCTGCTCCCTCTACTCATATCCTAATCTCTCTACTCATATCCTACTCCCTCCACTCATACCCTACTGTCTCCAAATGTATGCTACTCCCCCCTACCTACTTTCTTGACTTGTATCCTACTCCCTCTGATTCTCCTCCCTATATATTCAATCAATTCTCTTATTGTATCCACCCCTCCAACCTATTCATCTCTCAATTAATTTCATTGTAAAAATCCACAATATCTTGGTTGGAACGTTTCTATTTTTTCCTCCCCCCCATTCTCTTAGAATTGAGATAGAACTAGTATAGACCACCCCGCGGCTCATCGCTCTCCTTCGAATATGTGGAGATTCCCGTCTTTCTTTCCAGAACTTTATCCTCCCTTCTTGCCTGTGAAAAGCTTGAAAATGAGTGGGCGGATTTCAAGGCCTTTCGTGGAATTGTTTCAGTTTCATGAAACGGTCAAACTTGAAGAGCGTTGATTTAGAAAATCCGTTAAAATTTTGTTAATTCCTGGACAGATGATCTGTTTTATATTAATTGATATTTATGCTGGTATAAAACAATGAAACTCTAAACCCGATGAATCAAGATGAAATAATAACGTTTAATCCTGGAATCAAAACTTGATTCACATTTATCAATATAAAATTATCCAACGGAGATAAATTAGTCTCATTCCAGCTCCCCTATCTTTATAGCAGTTGGAAACCACTTATTTTATATTCTTTAAACTACTGCACGCCCTGGAGTAGAACTTGGATACACTCGTGTGTTTCATTTACATTTTGTAATATTTGTCTTTTTTCAGGCTGAAAAGTCCCCAATCTATTTTAACATTAATAAAAACAAAATTTTTGCTTTTGTCACTGACCTTTTTTGTTTCAAGATGTAGCGAGATAACACTTCTCAAAGATTTATTTTGTAAAAAACGAGAGGTTTTTGTGTAATAATTCCCTTTCTGTCAATTATTCCCCTGTTTCCAATCCCGTTCTCTCTGTTTCTGCGGGGATACAGAGATATGAAGGAAATTCTTATTCCCTGAGTAATCTTTACTTTATGCTCTGTTTATTCCAAACATTTAAAATAAATTTCAATTCCGAAAGTTTTTGTGTCGTTTTACTATTCTCTGAGTTTAGCTGTAAATTTGAGAAAATTTTATTCAGCTCGAATTAAAGAATATATCTAGGCTTGTCTTAACTATCTTTTCTTCCGTCTCTCATTATACAAGTTCTACGGAAAAGCCAGAATAAAAAGATAAAGAAGACAATTAAATCTGGAGGTTGAGCTCTGCTTTAGTCTCGGGGGAAAAGTCAAAAGAGTAATTATTTGTTGTTGTTTACACTGTTGGGTTGGGTTGGGTTATTATAAGTTTTTTATCCATTTTATTGTCTTGATATTAGTTACAATAGAGGTTGTTATTACACGGAGTTAAGCCTTGGTTCTCTATATTCTCCGGGTCTCCTGAACTCTCCGGGTTGGTTTCATGAATACATATTTCACCGTGTCCCAGTATTATCCGTCCCGTCAGACTTTCCTCAGATATTTATTCAAACTTGATAAATTCATTTCTTCTTCCCGAGGTTGTTGTCTAGGTTCTAGATCTATATTGTACAATGTACAATCTTGTTAGTTGTTAGTTTACATTCTAGGCGTGAAGCATTTATGGAGGGGGGAGGGGGGCATATTTGGTTTCCCCTGGCTAGAAATTATAATTAAATGATTGAATTACAAATCTTATATTGTGTTGGGGTTGGTAGGAGGGGGCAGATTGATTTCAGGGTTTCGTGCTTCAGAGAAAATTTCCCTCATTTCCTTCAGATTAAACTAGGAAGGAGTATTCAGTTTTTAAAGGGTTTTAGGAATTATGTTTTTATGGATTCTGGAATAAAATTTAGTTTTTTGGTAAATTAATATTTTAGCGCTGAAAAAACTAAAATGGGACTTTAACTAATGTCAAATTTTTCTTGAAAATATGCAGTATTTTCCCTGACAAAAAAACTTTGAATATATTTTGCCACTTTGCGCAAATTTTCATCAAATTTAATATAAAAAATATACATGGATCATGTATTGATCAGTGTCTTACTAAGATTATATGCATTGATCAGTGTTCAGAATATATTATTAGAATCCCACGAAGTAATTCGACCTATTCAGGCAGAAAGGGATTAATTGTTTTTATCTTGCATTTCCTGAGGCAAGAGAGCGAGGGGAAAGGTGNCAAAGCATAATCATGTTTACTACCTAAAAGTGAAAATGTCATTAAAAAGATTGAAGAAAAGAGAAATTGTAAAAGTTGGGTTTAACGGGGTACCTATTTAAGTACAAAGCTTATATAGATATGATACTAGTGAAATGTTTGAACAATTTTTTGCTAAATGAAAAGTTTCTTGTAAAGTATCAAACCTTCAACTATTCTTTTCTCGTTATTTATGAAGCTCCATCAAGAGAAACAAAGCATTGCCTCTGTTTAATACTTTAGTTTTTATCTAGTTAACATTCAAATGAAGATGGTTGGACAAGTGGGCATTGTTAAAAAGTAGGTAGTAATATTCAAAAGTGAAAAATAGGTAGAATTTAACAGTAAATGGTATATTGGGGGTTTTAACTAAATGTTAGTAAATATTGGGAAGTGTAGAAAGGCTTAAATAGTGAGGATTAAGAAAGGAATAAAGGATTGGAAATTGAGTAGGATTAAATAAAGAGTGAATAATAGAAGTATAGTAGGATTGAATTATGAAGTGTGGGTAGGATAGAGGAGTAGGGTTCAAGTATGAAATGTGGGTAGGATTGAAGTATCAAGTTTGGGTAGGATTGAGGAGTAGGATTAAAGTATAAAGTGTGGGTAGGATAGAGGAGTAGGGTTCAAGTATGAAGATTGGGTAGGATTGAGGAGTAGGATTACAGTATCAAGTGTGGGTAGGATTGAAGATATTCCTTTTCAATTGTTGTGAAGAATAAGTTTAAATCAGATTTATAACTTAAACAAACAATTTGTAAACCAGTACAATATTTTCATTCTAGACACAAAAAATTCATTTTATCAAATCCATTTATGTTTTATCATCGTAAACAATATATTTTCGATAGTTTCTTCTTTATATTGTTTGTTGTTTATTTAAACAAATTGAAAATATAAAAGCAGTGGTACGCTCGTTGAGTTAACTTATTGTAATGCTGAGATACTTGATCTAAATATTAAATGTTTTTATTGTGTTAAGGTGACCGATCTGGATTCTGGTAGGAACGCCAAGGTTGTGTTGAAGATAACTGCTGGTAACCCAGATGATCAGTTCAGGATTGATCCTCTCTCCGGAGTTCTATTCGTAGCTCGACCTCTGGACGCGGAGACTAAGAGTAGATACACCCTAACCGTCTCCGCCCTGGATATGGCGAATGCCGGGATGAGAAAACAATCCTCCGCCCGTGTCAGTATCTTCATCGACGACGTGAACGATAACACTCCTGAGTTTGAGAACAAAGAGAAGGAGATATTCTTCAATGAAAACGAACCTTCCGGGACGCGTGTTATGAGATTAAATGCTCAGGATCTAGATTCTGGCGAGAACTCTAGGATAACCTACAGTATTGTAAATATTCACGCGGACGAACTTCCCTTTGAAATTGATCATTTCACGGGAGTGATTAAATCCCGCTCCGTGATAGATTACGAGTCTGCACGACGAGATTATGATCTGATTATCCGAGCAAGTGATTGGGGAACTCCTTTCCGTAGAGAGTCGGAGATGAAGTTGATGATTCATATCAAGGATATTAACGATAATAGACCTCAGGTACTTAAATTTATAAATATTTACAATCTTGAAATAATATCTCTGTCCCCCTCTCGATGGATCATCTTGAATAAGGGCTAAGGATCTTCTCACGAAATATTTGCTAAGCTTAAAGATAATGATCTTCTCTAGTTTATCCTCTCCTATAAACTCCAATCTTTCTTCTTTAAAACTTCGCAATCTCCCTTCAACCCCCTCCCCCCTCATTCCCTTATCCAACCTCTAGCATCTTTCCTCCCCTGCTCCCTCAACCACATTACTCCCTCCCTCCCCCTTCCCCTTGACACCTGGCTAGCCCTGAATATTATTGATTCTTGTTCTTGTATTTAAAGATAAGAGTGTCGCCATAAATCATAAATAAATCATAAATAAGCCAACATGCTCGTTCAATCATTAAATTAAATCATCTCAGAAATACATTTTGACAATATTTTCTTTGTTAGTTATTATTATTCTAGTTTTTGTCCAGGTTTGAGGCTGTTGAATAAATATACCCGGGGTCAAATTCAATTTTGAATTTTCTATTTCTGATTATATCTCGTGATTATTTAACATTAGGCATAATACTGACGGATTCATGATTTATTGATTTTTGATATTTTGTAGATCTACAAAAACATTTTTTAATCTTTATTTATTGCCGTTGTGTAGATTCATAGGTACTTTATACGTTGTATCATGTTAATTAACATTTCCAATAGGGGTTTTTTGATCCATAGCCTATCAGATGCTATATTCAAAATAGAACTGAGATGTATATGTATCCCGTCTAACGGCCGATTATGAAGTTATCTTCTAAAGTCGATTACAAAAAAAGAACATTTATATACCTATATAAAAAATTAATAAATATACCCTTAAACAATAATTAACCGTTCTAACACCCTCTCCCTTCTCCTTCAAGATATGATGTAATGATAATTACATGCAAACTTGGCATATATGTTTTTGTTAAAAACAGTTTTTCAAGTTCAACCAATTTGATGATGAGCATGGATAAATAACATTCACACTCTCATAGATAATTTTCATACTAAATACAACAATTCACACTTTATTCAACATATCACACTTTTTAGATATTGTTCACAACCCATACAACATCTCACACATTGTTCACAATCCTTTCAGCATCTCACATTCTCATAGATAATTCACACTCTTATATATATTGTTCACACTCCGTTCAACATCTCACACTTACATAAATAATTCTCACACTGCATTCAACATCTCACACTCTGATATATATTGTTCACACTCCATACAACAACTCACACTCTCATAGATAATTCTCACACCATTCTACATCTCACACCGTGATAAATATTATTCACACGCCGTTCAACATCTCACACTCTGATATATATTCTTCACAACCCATACAACATCTCACACACTCAGAGATATTGTTCACACACTATTCAGCCTCTCATGCTCTCTTATATAATTCTCACACTCATAGACAATTCTCACATCTCTCCTAGCGTCACACACTAATTAATAGATAATTCTCACACTCATAGACAATTCTCACATCTCTCCTAGCGTCTCACACTAATTAATAGATAATTCTCACACTCATAGACAATTCTCACATCTCTCCTAGCGTCTCACACTAATTAATAGATAATTCTCACACTCCAATCAGCATCTTACACTCTTATAGATAATTCTCACACCTCCTAGCATCACACACTCGTACTTATTTTCACAATCCTTTAAACATCACAAACTCATAGATTATTCTCACACATTCTAAAGCACTTGTTCACCACTCAAGCCTTGCAGTAAAAACAAATATTAGCACTACAATCTACATATCTGTCAGTAGAGGAGTTGAACCGTGTTTTCATTTCCTCGCATTAATGTTTGTTTTTGTGTCCAGGTTTCTTAGATCATTGTTCGAAGAATAGTCATTGTAAAGGTTACAGGTTTCTTTTGAGAAGGGTTAATAGAAGGGGTTTCTTGGGTTGCAAGGGAACAAAATACATGTAATTTTGATATTATTTTTACGGATATATATCAATTCACCAATTTCACCGTCTTTTATGCATTCAAAGTCATAGTTTTTATTGGTATCTGATGGGTTGTAACGTCCTGAAAACTAGATTTAGGACACCCCAAAAAAGACTTAGATTTGGCGCGGAGTAAAGAAAAAAACGTGCTATTTATTCCTTATTACATTATCAAATCCTTACATAATTAAAATCACTGTTTATTATTTGAGTTTATTTTGAGATTGAATATGAAATAAATATGACGAAGATGTTTTTACCTATATTTTCCTTTTGAAATTGATAACTTGTGCACTGAGATTTCTGCAAAAAAAATTGAGAAAATGGACAAAATTTGTAACGCCTCAATCGTTTCTTGGATGTTAAAAGATTTCCAATGTGAACAGGGGCGTATTCAGGAATTTGTCCAGGGGGGGGGGGCATAAAACCCCCCTGAAATCAATAGATTTCACTGGTCAAGGGGGGGCTTAGCCACAATAGTTACCCCTTTGAATACGCCTCTGGTTGTGAATCGTTAACGACATTCTTTAAAACAATGACAATGTTGCTTGATGAAATGTAGTTTTATGGTTTCCTCTCTTGTTCCTTAGCACTTCTCAGTACTCCGTAGGGTTGTCTAAATTCAACTCTCTCAATGTTATATTCAAGTTAAATATGTAAATCTAGGTTTAGTAGAGATCAGAGCTCTGTCTCCACAAATATTAAATCCTGCTTTATTGCATTTTAACTGGTTCAACGATTTTGCATTGGCAACCCATTTATATAGTCTTTCAACTTTTATTAGAATCCCTAGGGGCATACTTTATATTAATCCCAAAATTCCTCCCTCTCCTCCAATTGGTATTTTTACGCAGTAGTTCTTTTTCACCAGATATGAGCAGAGCGAAACAAAATAAGATGGATTCTTACTTTTAATCCCCGTTTTTCCCTTTTTCTTTTTGTTAGTTTATCTGTAGCGTATTAACTTGAGGGAATAGGAAGGAGCATTTCTGACTCATGAAGTAGTGAAATACAGTGTAAAGTATTGTATACAAAGAATAAGCTCCGAAACAAACTGCGGATAGAGTAGGCCGGGAAAACTTGTTGACTTGGAAACCATGAGAATAAGAAAAATTTATTTATTGTAAACATGATTTTTTAATGTGTCTGAACCCTGGAGTAGATATGCTACAAAAAAACCTGACATATATGGTCGAGGGGGAGTCAGCGTAATATAAAAAGTTTTCACATGTCAGTTTCCTGCTCGTCAAATCTGGTTAATATATTGTATATAGGCTCAATAGTACTTTTTCCTCTGTAGGCAGGGTTCATGCTAGACATCCCTTCAATCTTCTGCACTTTTCAGTTCAATGCACAGGGGGGGGGGGGTCTGGAGAAATGGAAGGGGGGTACAGAAGAAGGGGGATTGTCTTGAAGAGAGCAAAGGAAAGGGGCGGTTTTAGAAAGTGGCAATGGTTGCAGAGCAAGGAATTAATGAAAGCTAAAAGGTTTCAGAGGAAGGGGGTTGTAGTAAGCTGAAAGGTTGCGGAGTAGGCTGGGATGAAGAAAGCTAAAAGGTTGCAGAGTAGGCTGGGATGAAGAAAGCTAAAAGGTTGCAGAGTAGGCTGGGATAAAGAAAGCTTAAAGGTTGCAGAGTAAGTTTGGATGAAGAAAGCTGAAAGGTTACTGAGTAGGCTGGGATGAAGAAAGCTGAAAGGTTACAGATGGGCTGGGATGAAGAAAGCTAAAAGGTTGCAGAGTAGGCTGGGATGAAGAAAGCTGAAAGGTTGCAGAGTAGGCTGGGATGAAGAAAGCTAAAAGGTTGCAGAGTAGGCTGGTATGAAGAAAGCTAAAAGGTTGCAGAGTAAGTTTGGATGAAGAAAGCTGAAAGGTTACTGAGTAGGCTGGGATGAAGAAAGCTGAAAGGTTACAGAGTAGGCTGGGATGAAGAAAGCTAAAAGGTTGCAGAGTAAGTTGGGTTGAAGAAAGCTAAAAGGTTGCAGAGTAGGCTGGGATGAAGAAAGCTAAAAGGTTGCAGAGTAAGTGGGGATGAAGAAAGCTAAAAGGTTGCAGAGTAAGTTGGAATGAAGAAAGCTAAAAGGTTGCAGAGTAGGCTGGGATGAAGAAAGCTAAAAGGTTGCAGAGTAAGTTGGGATGAAGAAAGCTAAAAGGTTACAGAGTAAGTTGGGATAAAGAAAGCTGAAGGTTGCAGAGCAAGGGGTTAAAGAAAGATAAAAGGGTTGCAGAGCAGAGAGCTTGTAGAGACGGGGAGAGTGTTGATCAGTTGGGGGAGTCTAAAAAGTGATTGAGTGGTAAGGATCTAAAAAAGTGCAGAAAGCATTAAGGTGGAAAATATAAGCAAAATATCTAGATTCTAATGGTTTACGGAAATTATTCAGTTCTCTTCTAGAGGTTACACGTATTTAATCAGGGTGTTTTTTCAAATTAGGCAATATAATATTTAATATTAAGTCTCTTTATTAATTAACATCCATATGTTTTGACGATTAAAACATCCCTTAAAAAAGCATGACAAATTTAATTTTGATTAAACGTAATAGATCACCTTTAACAAAGAATTTAAAATTTTCTGCTGGGGTAAACCTTGTTTCCCCGTATTAATATCCGTCCTGCAGGTTTTCCTGTTCCTTGTTTTAGCTTGAGATACACTGTCTGCAGAGCTAGAATATTTACCTCCTAATGATTCATTCTACCCCTAAAAGTTCCAGTTTCACACCCCCCCTGGCCCCTCTTCCTTCTGTTGCTTACTAATTATTATCTGTCTCACACGCTTCTATTGCTTAGTTTCATAATATTATTTCAACCCCACAATTGTCAAAACAAAATCGGTTCATTTCGACATTTAACAATAAATATACATCCTCCCTTAGAACTATGTTTATTAAGAATATTTTAGAAGAAATATAATTACTGTAATTATTTTAGTTTGAGCGAGACGGATGTATTGGAAAGGTTTCCAGGTCCCTACCCCTGGGAGGAGAAATCATAACCCTCTCCGCCCTCGACTACGACGTGAGGAACATCATCAGCTACAGGGTTGTATCTGGGAACGCGGACGGATGTTTTTATCTGGACGAAACAACAGGTGTTCTTAGTGCCAAGTGCGATCTAGGACGTTTACCGATGAAACGGCGGATCCTAAACGTAACGGCCACTGATGGACAGCATTTTGCCGACGTAATGCCGATAGAGATAAACCTGGTTGAGACGGAGGGGTTCTACAGGGATACCAGCCTGGAAGGACGCATGCTAGACTTCAACTGTAGGAACACTAATGTAGCACAGAAGCTGACGGAATTGATGGCTGAAGCGGAGAAGAATAACAGAGGATCCTTGGAACCAGAGTCAAACCCGGTTCTTCTTCATAATATTCATTATCCAACCTTTCAACGTCTTCCCAAATCCTTCTACCTCAACGAAACTGATCCCGTCGGTACTGAAGTATTCAAGGTAAGGAACAGGTTGAAATACTGGAGTTTTGTAAACTTGGAAAACATGTTGAAATGTCGGTGTTTTTATGATGGCGGAGAGTGTATACATGAGATAAGAAGAGAGGATGGATCGGGTTAAATTTGAACAGTTAACACCTGTTCGTCACAACATTTAAGTTTTCTGGGGGGGGGGAGTCTAAAGTAGGNATCTACTATACCTCATTCAATACAATATTTCATCTACTATACCTCATTCAATACAATATTTCATCTACTATACCTCATTCAATACAATATTTCATCTACTATACCTCATTCAATACAATATTTCATCTACTATACCTCATTCAATACAATATTTCATCTACTATACCTCATTCAATACAATATTTCATCTACTATACCTCATTCAATACAATATTTCATCTACTATACCTCATTCAATACAATATTTCATCTACTATACCTCATTCAATACAATATTTCATCTACTATACCTCATTCAATACAATATTTCATCTACTATACCTCATTCAATACAATATTTCATCTACTATACCTCATTCAATACAATATTTCATCTACTATACCTCATTCAATACAATATTTCATCTACTATACCTCATTCAATACAATATTTCATCTACTATACCTCATTCAATACAATATTTCATCTACTATACCTCATTCAATACAATATTTCATCTACTATACCTCATTCAATACAATATTTCATCTACTATACCTCATTCAATACAATATTTCATCTACTATACCTCATTCAATACAATATTTCATCTACTATACCTCATTCAATACAATATTTCATCTACTATACCTCATTCAATACAATATTTCATCTACTATACCTCATTCAATACAATATTTCATCTACTACCTCATTCAATACAATATTTCATCTACCACCTCATTCAATACAATATTTCGTCTACTATACCTCATTCAATACAATATTCTCATCTACCACCTCATTCAATACAATATTCTCATCTACCACCTCATTCAATACAATATTTCATCTACTATACCTCATTCAATACAATACTCTTGAATCCCTCATCATTACACAATTTTAATCTCCAATTAATATTTTTTTGATTTATAAATTTGTTGTGTCTTCTAATATTATTTTTTTAATATTCATGTGTATTTATCGATCCATAATAGTTATAATTAATTAATTTGACCCCAATCAATGATGATTTTTCCTCTTATTATTCTTTTTCACTATTATCCCTAGATCTGCTCTTCGGTATATATCCCCCCGGCCCGGTCCCCCGATCTCCTGGTTCGGTTCTGAAGAATGCACATAAAATACTGAAATATATACTACTCCAGTTAAAATAGACAGTGCCAAAATTATATTCAATGTTCCGGGTATTCTTGGATGGACTTGGAATAGGAAGAGATGGTTTTTATGTCTAAACTTTGATCAGTTTTACTCCTTGTTCTTTTTATGTGTCTTGGTCAAATGTTTGGGAGTGTCTGAAAGTGTCAAGTTTCTGTTGAGTTTTCTTTAATCTACTTGTACCTACTCCTAGCTTGTCAACTTTTTACATGTCTTAGTTTCAAGCAAAGAACGTGTCATGGGTTGATTGATTGATTGACTACTCCCTCCCCCTCTAACCTGCACGGACATACTCAACCTAAAGAACAACTTTTATTAAATTAAATTTTAAGAATACATTTCTGTTCAATTTCTTCTTGTCTGTCTGGTTAGTAAAAGCAGGGTGGCGGGACAGAGTATATTTATCTATATTAAGTTTTGGTTCAATGGATTGCCTGACTGTGAAGTATAAATGTTAAAAATCTTTTAGCTGGGCTGAATTAACATTTACAAACTTGTTTAAAGCGCTTATTACGTCCCCTGCACTATTCTTAAACCTATTTTCAACTTAAAAGTTTGTTTTATTACTATAATCTGGGGTTGTTGGATTCAGTCCTCGTAATAATTCTAAATTTTCTCCAAACTTGAAGCTAAAATTTAAATGGAAATATGACACTTGGTTTAACATGAATTCACATCATTTAATTTTTATCAAGCATTTTATTCAAATTTGATAGTTTTTTATGAAACTAATTTTATAGAGAGGAGGTGGTTACGTGGTACTCAATTCTTAATTGATTTATTTTAGATTGAAGATTTATTATGAATATCATTAAATATTAAAAATTGTGTTTATTTGGATCTTTTTGTTTGACAAAGTCTTGACATTTCTAAATTTTGTTCAAATTTTTTATTTTTATCTTTTGAGGGCCCTTCTTTGTTTTAAAATAATTCTTTTTTAAATTTTTTTTATATTTTGGAAAATTTAGCTTGTTTATTTCTTAAATTATTTAATTCAAATTTCAAATTAAATATTAAAAGGTATTAAATTTTTGAAAATCATTTCTGAAATTATTTTCACTTAAAATTGTTACCTTAATTTTGCAAATTTTCGGTCTGGACTCCTGAATTACTTTTAAAAAATAACACTGATCAGGTGCATTCCTGAGATCTAAAACTGATATTGTTTCACTGATGAGAATATTTTTATCTCGTTTAGGGTTAGGTGTGTATAAAGGAGAACTGAACATAATCTAATATTCCTAGGTTAGAAAAATAAACATGTTTTTACTCCAGTGTAGACACAAGTCTAGACCTGTATAATCATATCTTGAATACTAGTATCTTAAATCTGATTACAGTCTATTATTTATATCAAGCGATGCATTCTGATCAGAAAGAAAATTATATCTTTCTTTATAATAAAGCTCTTCACTCATATGTTAGCTATAGCTGCCAAACGGCTAGATCAAATTGGCTGGAATTTTTTAAGGGAACCTATGGGTACCCTGAGGGTAACATAGGCTAAAAAATCAATTTTTATTTTTGAAATTCCTAATTTCGAAATATTTGATTTTGAAATTCCACGGGCAACGTTTCGGACACTTCAGCTATTATAATATTAATACATACATACATTTGTTGTGATAAAACAATTAATTCAGTTTTCTATTTTTAACGATACGCTAAATGATTTCCCGGTGAGATTAGATCCAATCAAATTCCTCTTCTGTCCTAGGTTCCTCCAGACTATCTCCGTAATTGGAGAATTTTACGATAAAATCTTAGATATTTGGCTTGTTTTCTTTTGGACAGTGCTGCATTCTTAAATATAAAGTTTTATTCTTTCTAATTTAGTTTTATTGTCGTTTAACTCTTTAGTCTTGCTTATCTTTCATTTAACACACGAACTAGAGACACCCCCTCCCCTTCCCCATTACCTGAACTCATTTCAACCCATTCTCCATCTCCCCCCCCCCTCTCCACTATTAAACTCATCTATTCAGCTCTTATTTGAACTAGACATAAAAAGGTCAAAATAACATAGAAAATAATACATCAATGCCTGTAATGAATATACCCAATGCCCATATCCAGAAATGTACTCTGCTTTAAAATTCAGTGATGGTGATGGACCAAACCTCTGTAGAGTAAAAAAGTAGATGTTAGTTCCACATTTATTGAAAATATATTTCGGTCTGGGTTGACCCTCGTCAGTTCTTGAGATTGTTTCTTCACAAAGATTATTTATACAATATACATACATACACACATACATTTTTATAGAAACCCAAAACCTTTTTTCTTACGTTGGAATTAAATTTCAATTCTTTTTATTTATTTATTTTAATGTTGAGATTTTAATTTCTATTTATAAACTAAGATCTTTTTGTGTGTATGAGTGTGGTTTTCATTCCAGGTTTTATTTTTTTCAATTTCTTGGTTTAACTCTTGATTGTATTTTTTAGTACTTCTGTATCAATAATACTTCTATTCCCTCCTGTGTTTAGATGTAACCTTGCTCCTCCTCCAGGTCTAGGTTAGGACTGCTCGCTGATAGTTTGAATCATGAAATATATACCAATTATTTAACCTAATTGATGAAAAGATGGAAAGATATATAAATTCTCCCACTCATGTCTGGGTCTAGGTTTTAGTATGAGAATTCATTCATTCGTTCATTCTTGCTCACCTAGTTTGGGTAAATCCTGAAATGAACATTCGCCACAAACTCTAAATTTCGCATCCCTATATCTTTGCAACTTGATGGTGTAAACCTTTGATATTTTAAATGCTGACTATTAAATCTAGCAGAAGTTTTAGTTTGAAATATAAATGGGATACGATCAAACAATTGGTGTGATCGTATTCTAAAATTATTATAATCTAATCCGGAAACTTAATTTTAATAATTTAATTCTGAAACTAAATCCATGTGATACAACCCTGAAGATTAATCCTGATAATCCGTGTGATGAAATCCTGAAAGAGAACCCTAAAATGTAACCCTGTAAATCCTTACTGAATTCTAAGATCTTAAACTAAGCCCTGGAGCTGAAATCTGTTGCTTCGCTAATCTAGATTTTGCAATAACACTGACAGATGTATGCAAAATATCTAAACAGTATTCACTAACATTCTACAACAAGAGATCAAAGCTAAACTATTTAAATCAAGATTTAGAACAATAATAAGAGAAAATTGTCTTGTGAGATTTAAAATTAGAACTAGCATCAAGATTATTTTCAAACAGGACTGAGTCAAGCAAGCATGCAGGAATTCTTTTAGACAGATTCAAAGTCAAACATGCATAAAGAGCAGATAAGATTACCCCCCCCCCCTTCCCCCCTCCCTTCCTTTCTTTCTCTTCCGTCAGGCCAGGTTTATCTTTTATCAAAACTTCATCGTGTTAATTGGGTGTACGCAATAGTCCTGTTTCGTCCCCCGGGGGGGGGGATATGGCTGAATGTATTGTTTTAATAAGAAATATTGAATATTGATGAGAGATTAGTTCCTGACAGTTGTATTGGGATTGATATCTTTCTTTTGTAGTGGAAACTAATAAGATTCTCAACTTTTGTGTCAAAACTTTCGTTTTATCTTGTAAGATAAAAGAAAAAATTAGTTGTTATCTTTCTCAGACATTCTTTTATTCATTCCACTTGTCAAATCCTTTATCCTTCAATCATTGTTTGATTGAGGGTTTAGAGATATATCTTTATCCCGGATTCTATTCATATTATCAGAATACAAATATAAGGACTTCAATGGGAATAAAGATCATTTCAAAAATATATTAAGATATTCAGTTTTCAAGATAAAAACCTTTGTACACTGTGCACCACAGGCCAAATGTTGAATTGGTGACAGTTGCTAAGATCATTATTTGATTTTACTCTTATAAAATCCTGCTCTGTCATCCCTGTTTATTCTTTTCTAATCCGTGAAGCAAATGCTGGCCATGTTTCTTACTTAATAAACCCCGACTTCAATCTATCATGATCTATGGAACGCCGAGTTAATAGAAACCTAAGCTCTTTGTTAAACCCTGATCCTGTCGCGTGCTGTCATTAGGACCTGGAGCTGGTCTCGTATTTATATTTATCATCTGGGTAGAGATTATGTCTGGTTTCAAGGGTTGATATTGAATACAAGTTTAAAATCTTCTTTATTCCCCTTGTATTGTGGTTAGTACAGTGGTAAGCGTAGTCAGTTTATACTTAATTAAAGATTAAGTCTATTCATCGCTTTTTCTTTTTATCAAAAATGAAGATGATTTTTTTTATTTTTATCAAATATTAGATTTTACATTTAATGAAAAGCAACCTTCTTAGCATTTTGTGTGTGAGGGGGGGGGGTGATTTAGAGTGTAAGGATACCATATTATTGGACAAGTAAAATTTAAAATGACCATCATTAGTTAGAGTTGGTCTTTGACCTATCCTTGAGTTGAAAGGTTCATATCCTGGCTCCAACTTGATAATTAATTATCAGCAAGACGATTATTTATTTTAAATTCCCTGTAGGTTTTTTTTGTAGGGTTCGTTCTAATTCAGAGTTTATTCTTATCCAGTCTAGGTTCAGCATTCCTGAATCTCTCTCCCCACGCCCTGATCAAAATCCTTGATATTTATTCATACATTCTTGTTGATAATACTTTCCAGTTTTTATACTTCTTCATTTTCCAGATATTCACTTCAAACACTTTATTTCTTAACCTTCCGTCCTTCAAATTTTCTCTGATGTCGTCAAATCTTATTTACATTTTATTCTGTCATTCTTCTCCTACGTAGTCCAATAAACTCTCCTCAGCTCTCCTTAAGTATCTTCTCCGGTATTCCTAAATTACTACCCTTGTATACCGTCCTACACTTCTAGCTCTTGAATTCCGTCCTATCCGGATTAATATCTTCTCCCGTATCCCCGTCCTATCCGGATAAATTACGTCTCCTGTATCACGTTCTATCCTGCTAAATTTCTTCCCCTGTATCCCTTCTTTTTACTTCTTGTTATCTTTTCCTGTATCCCGTCTTACCATGCTTAATATCTTCTACTGTATCCCGTCCTACCCATCTAAACATCTCCTTTACTCTCCTACTCCTGCACCCCGCACCCCCTGGAGATTAATGTATCTTCTCCCAACTCCTTTTCCAGGTTAATACCCTCACCTCTCTCCTCTCCCTGCTGGAGCTGAAGCATGGAACCCTCCAACCTCCCACTGGGTATCTCCTCCCTAAAGATCCCTCCCCCACCACAAAAAATATGCCTCAAGATACCCCCCCCCCCTCTCCCCCTCACATACATAACCCCTCAGAAGCATTCCAGTATTTAATGTTGTTGCTAATGATTTCTAGTTTCCTTCTAATCCTTTACAATAATATACAGAGAGCAACCTGAACCTAACTAATCCTATAGCGTATAATACTAGTTAAATCATCAATATATTGTGGAAATAAAACTTGTCTTTTTTTACATATTATGATGAATTGACCGTAAATATAGAAAGAAACCAATCTCTGATCTAAAATTATTTTATAACAGTTATTTGTTAAGAGGTTGGCGATTTCTTAGAATTCGCTTTGTCGACATACCCCCTCTCATTTTGTTAAATTTTGTTTTATAAAAGAAAATACTGAAACTATTGATAAAATTATATAAATACATCTTTACACATCCAGGTGGTCACAGTCCCCGACCCCCTACCCTATCTTAGTCGCGGTGCTCGGTTTTAATTTTATCGACTGAGATTTCACATTACACTAATTAGATTTTATTTTCACTCTACATTGTGTGAGCGTGTTGATGTTCTTTTATATATTGCTTTTGATGGATAATGATTAACGGTCATTACTTTGTTTACGAGTAATTTTCCTAATCGAAAAAGTTGAATAAATGGCTGAAAAGAACGTAGAATTGTATGCAGTTAACATATATTTATAAATAATGACTTCAATTTACCAAACTAAGTAAGTATATTCTGTATACTGTGCTTGGGACGGATTTAAACAAGAACTTGACAGATATCATTTCAATCCCATCATTGTATTTTCCACAGCAGTTCATGCTTAATTGAGTTGTTAGTCAAGAGGGTTCGGTTTAATTTATTCTTTATGTAGGATTTGAAGGGCGGTACTCCAGACCTATTCTTATAGTATTTGGTGCACATTTTTACTTAACAAAATATAGTATTTAATACGTATTTTATTTTATATGTATATATATATTAACTTTAAAATTAAGTTTTTTTAACCATTGAAACCAAGGGGCCCGGTCTAGGCGTTAACAAGACTGTTGGCTAGACATGTATAAATTAGTATCAAACCTTTTCACGTATTTAACTTAGTATATTAAAGCAACAGAGCTAACCCAGGGCCTGATTCCAACAAAACCATAATTAGAGACAACTCAAGAACAAGAGTGATGCGCAAAATATACAATCCTAACTTAACATGATTTAGCTCTCCTCTTTTTTGACAATCAATCCCAAAAGTAGTTTGGAGGTTGGGTACTTCAAGCTTTAAAGACTGATGGTTTATATGATCACTAAGAATAATTAATTAGATATATTAAGTAGAAGGGGGGTGTGTAGGGAGAGGTTGGAGGGAGGGTTAAAGGGAGGGTGGAGTAGGATGGCGGGAAGTGGGGGGAGAACTAGAAGGGCGGGGATGGAAGGAAAGAGTTAGAGGGCGAGGATGTGATAAAAGAAGTTCGAGTTCGGGAGATAATGAATTGGTAGAAGTAGAAAAGAAATTAGAATTATGACCAGGAACCATGTATTGTGTATGGATGTCAAGTTTCATGTAAGCCTAGGGTTTTGTCGGGGTAAACCACATGTAGGACTAATTTCATAAAAATCCTTGATGAAACAGGATACAGGATACAGAAACAAATTATGATTAGAACACACAGGATAATCACATTCCCAAACCTAGAAACCCGTTTTCTGTCCGAGCATTATTTCATTCCTTGATTTACTTTTTTACTTGTGTCCGTTGAAAAGGGATAGGAAGATTTAAAAGTAGAAAACTTATGATTTTTATACTTTTACTTCGCGGTTATTGAAACTCAAATCTATGAATCAAAAACAGTGCATTATTAAATCAACTAATGATAAATTAATTGATTTTCATGAGATTTCCGTCCCATGGAGTATAATCTTTAATACATTTACTATAATTCATTAAACAGTTGCTAACCTAAATTTTTCATATATTTAACACCATTAGTTAAAAACAACGATTAAATGGCAAATCAAACATCTTCGTGAGGATTTTTTTAATGGATGAATAAGGGGGGTGTTATATTTGGTAATTCTATTAGAGAAGGATAGATACTAGTCTTTTTTGTGACGAATTGTGCAGAGATTTTACAAATTTTATATTCTAAATATTTTATCATTTATCCTAGTTGGGGAAATATTTTCATGTTTATAATGAACTAGCGGGATCCATTAATTAATCTAGTTTGAGAGAAAACATTCCTCATCTATTCATCGCTTTTTCTTTTTATCAAAAATGAAGATGATTTTTTTTATTTTTATCAAATATTAGATTTTACATTTAATGAAAAGCAACCTTCTTGTTTAAACCCCTGATATTAGGTATCATTTAGAATCACTCATCTGTGAAGGGTATGGCTGTCTTTGAAGCTTCCCAATTCATGTTTTTAAAGTTTTAACATATTTTTTGTTTCAGGTGAATTGTGAGGATATGGATCCAGGATTCGAAGGATTCCTCGTGTATGCTATCTCCGGAGGGGATCCTGATGCTATATTTGAAATCAATATGACCAGTGGAGTTGTTAGGCTAATGGCTCAGGCGGACCGAGAGAAAACCCAGGATTACATGCTGAATATTACCGCCTGTGATCTAGGTATTCCTCAGAAGTGCTCCTCCATACTTAGTCATGTCATAGTTGTGGACCAGAATGACAATTCTCCGGTTTTTATCAAATCTGCATTTTCATTCTTCTTTCCAGAGAATACGAGGAACGGAACCCCTGTCGTAACTCTTAACGCTACGGATCTTGACTCCGGACCGTTTGGTCAAGTAACCTACATTCTTGAAACAGAGACAGAATATTTCTCCTTAGACCCTAGTACTGGACTCTTGATAGTATCCAAGGAGCTAGATCGGGAGACCAAGGAGTTCTATGACCTAACAATACGTGCAGTGGATGGAGATTTGAATGCTCCTCTGTCCTCCCTGGCCAAGGTTCGAGTTCGAGTTCTGGACGTGAACGATGTAGCTCCAAGGTTCACCTCACAGGAGTACTATGTGAAGACTAGAGAGGATCTTCCTGTACGGACAATGGTTGGATTTGTGGATGCATATGATCCTGATCTGTATCAGGGCGGGCAAATTACTTACTCTATAGATTATGGAGCAGAGGATATGTTTTTTATTGATAAGTTTACAGGAGCAATTAAGATTAAGAAGCAGTTGGACTACGAGACTAAACAACTGTACAACCTAACCGTTCTCGCTATAGACGGGGGATCACCGTCCCTAGTCTCTGTATCCTCGTTTATTGTCGAGGTTCTTGATGTAAACGAAAACCAGCATCCACCTAGGTTTGACTCCGTGTTTGAATCTGCCAGGGTACCGGAGAATCTTCCTCCTGGTTCTCTGGTGACAAAAATCACTGCAACTGATTTCGACACTGGAGCGGAAGATAGAAGGGTTTCCTATTCTATCAGAGGAGGAGACGGACTCAACAGTTTTACTATTGATGATTCAGGGAATGTAAAAACCTCTGTGGTTCTGGACAGGGAATCTAAAAGTAACTATTGGTTAACTGTTTACGCCCAGGATCATGGTTCGGTTCCTCTCTTTTCTAAACTAGAAATATTTATTGAAGTTCTAAATATAAATGACAATATCCCTCTCACACTCTTTCCAGTTTATTTTCCATCAGTTCCGGAGAACTCAAAGCCATCAACTCCAATTGTAACTCTGGAGGCGTTTGACGGGGACTGGGACCCTGAACAGAAATTAGTGTTTGAGATAACTAGCGGGGATCCACAATCATTATTCACCATCAACTCTATAACAGGACAGATCTTCACAACTCATAGAAAACTTGATAGAGAGGTTCAAAGTGAGCACGAGTTGGAAATACGAGTAAGTGATTCATCTCAACCACCGCTTAACTCGACCACAAAAGTAATTGTATCCGTCCTAGATGAGAATGATAACACGCCACAGTTCCTAGAACGATATTACAAGATTAAATTGCCCGAGATTCTCCTGGTAGACGAGAGCTTGCAGAAGGATCAGGAAACCCTACCGGCCGGCCAGAACAAATCTATGAATGAGGCAAAATATGACCCATTGTTTGAGAATACAACATGGGAAACTTTTAACATTGCTGATCTGGACGGGAAGCCTGTGTTCCGTGTAATTGCATTAGATAAGGACGAAGGTCTCAATTCCAAGCTTTCCTACAGTATAAACAACGGTGTGGACGGAACTGGAAGGTTCCAAGTTAACCCTGAGACAGGAACAGTCCACACTACAATATCTTTGTTGGGAGGAGAAATGTTTGAACTCCTTGTGGAATGCAAAGATGGAGGTAATCCGCAATTATCCGACGTTTCTAGGGTTTCAGTCGAGATCATCCCAACCGAACCTGACACCAACCAAACAATATCAATCCCAGAGAAACATAATGTAGAAGTGTTTGAAACGGATCCTGTTGGGCATCTTGTCATTCTTCTCCAACCTGAGGTAGAAATAGACAATTTCATTTTCTTTGAAATAGTTGGAGGCAACGACGGGTTTGATTTTACCATATCCGGAGACAAGGGAAGCTTACTGATTGCAAACCCTTTGGATTGGGAAAGACAAGGAGAGTATAGTTTAAATGTGAGTATATCTGATGGAGCAGTTCAAGAATTCACTCTACTTCACATCAAGGTGATCGATGTTCAAGAGGATCGACCTGAATTTTCCGCTGCAGAATTTGTGATCGACGTTCCGGAAAACTTTACTCTCAATGGTGAGATTACACGCCTGACATTGACAGATCGGAGTGCAGAAACAAAGAAACTCTTCTCCGTGCACGCTGCTCAAAGTTTGGAGTCTTTTCATACCTTTAAGATAGACCCGATAGACGGAACTGTATCATTAGCACGTAAGTTAGACAGGGAACAGATCTCCCGCCATATATTGACGGTTTCCGTCAAGGATGAGGGATCCTTGTCAAAAAAGAATTTTGCTCGGTTGGTTATAAATGTGGAGGATAATAATGATCATAGTCCACAGTTCCTATCCCAGCTCATTCAAACAAAACTTTTTGAAACTGCTGATATCGGAAGTTCCGTTGTTCAAGCTCTAGCTATTGACAATGATCACGGAGAGAACGGACGGATTACCTACTCAATTCTTACAGGAAATGTTGGAAACTCTTTCTTTATTGATCCTGATCTAGGAATACTCCGGGTTGCCCGTGATCTGGATATTCGTGTTCAACCAGAGTATATGCTCGTTCTTAAAGCTACAGACAATGGTATGGTTCCTCTCTCCGCAACTCTTCCTGTTCATATCCTACTTACTATGGCAGATTCAGCTCCTCCAAGGTTCCTTGAACCCCACTACGCTACGGAGGTTTATGAAAACCTAGCTCGGGGACACTTCGTAATTCATGTAGAAGCTCGGAGCCAATCCTCACTATTTTACGAGATCTCCAGTGGGAACCAGGACGGAGTTTTTAGAATAAATCCCAGCACTGGAATAATTATGACCCAACAAAATTTGGACTTTGAAAAAACTCGAGTTTACAATCTGATTGTTCAAGTGTCTAATATGGTTGGAGCTAAGACAAGTGTGGGAACAGACATTCATGTTCTAGACATAAATGACAATAGTCCTATGTTTAAGAAAAACTATTTTGAAGGGAATATCAGTGAATCTGCTCCTGTCGGTTCCTTAGTCCTCACGGATAACACGACTCCTCTTGTTATAAAAGCAACAGATGAAGACTCAGGACTCAACTCTTTACTCATGTATGAAATTCTTGGTGATCAAGCGAGCAAATATTTCACAATCGACTCTAGCACTGGAGCGCTCAGAACTATTCTTAATCTGGATTTTGAAACACACTCCGTGTTTGAGTTTAACGTAAGAGTCTCTGATATGGGAAAACCTAGATTAAGCGCGGAAACTACAGCTCATGTCAAGCTTTATGTTAAAGATGAAAACGATTCCCCGCCAAGGTTCTCTAACAGGGTGTATGATAAAACTCTTTTGCTTCCAACGTTTAAAAATGTGAGCGTGGTTCAGGTGAATGCCAGTGATCCTGATATAGAAATAGTTTCAACCCTTCAGTACTCAATAGCTGGCGGTAATCTAGGAGATCTGTTTGGACTGGATGAGAGAACTGGACGGATATTTGTGAATAGACCTGACGAGATAGAAGGGAACCCACGGTATTCTCTCGACCTCATGGTTTCAGATGGAAAGTTTACTGATCTCTGCAGGCTTAACATTGATATTAGAAAATCTGAAAACTCCGGACTTGCATTTAGTAAATCCAAGTACTATGCTACAGTACTAGAGAATTCCACCAAATCTGATGTTATTCTGGTTGTCAATGTTCTTGGATCAGCCCTGAACGAGAACCTTGAGTTCTCTATTCTCAACCCAACGGATTTGTTTAATATCGGGAGAACATCCGGAGCTCTGTCTACAACTGGGAAGGTGTTTGATCGAGAGAATCAGGAGAACTACGAACTAATCCTTGAAGTGAGGAGTGAGGAAAGAGCAAGATACACTCCAAGGTAATAATTGTAATTATTTATTTACATAACTTACAAACCAATTGAATCAACTTGTACTGCAGCATTTGAAGGTAAATACTAAATACTAAATACATAGCAGTGTAATAACTGTTTCCACTGCAATATCCCTTTTCCTCCATACTTCTCCAAATAATTGTTCAAAAGCAGAGCTGCTCGTATTCATTACTACATACTAGACTCGTTCATTCATTATATATCTGTCTCTAGCTAGTATATCTGTTCTCTAGCTAGTATTATATCTGTTCTCTAGCTAGTATATCTGTTCTCTAGCTAGTATATCTGTTCTCCAGCTAGTATATCTGTTCTCAATCAAGAATATCTGTTCTCCAGCTAGTATATCTGTTCTCCAGGTAGTATCTGTTTCCTAGCTAATAAATCTGTTCTCGAGCTAGTATATCTGTTCTCCAGGTAGTATATCTATTTCCTAGCTAATAAANGTGAAGAATAAGGCTCAATGTTGGGTCTTATTCTCATCAAAACCCGGAATGCACCAATTCCAACTATGAAAATCCGCCAACTACAACATTAAACCGGTTTAATGAACTAAACTCTGTTAAAAATTAGATGCAACTTAAATCCGAAAGCCCGAGCCGTAAATAAGGCTCAACGACAGCTTAGACCCGAGTCGTATTTTATTGAATTTTTTAAATCGCCGGCTCTGAAATAATTTCAGAGGAATGTGTAGCATAGAAAGAGTAGGGGGATAAGAAAGCGTCAACTGTTTTTGTACAAAAGATTGTTTCGTCTTGAAATTTTACAATTGATACAATGTGACTGGAACCTTTTCTGTGTTCAATTAAAATATTTCAAAATTTCTAATCCCCATGTATTTGCAACCTGATGGTTTTAACCTTTGAAATTTAAAACTTGACCTATTTGATCTAACAGAATTCAAAGTTTAAAATATCAAATGTCTACGACATCGGGTTGCAAAGATATAAAGATTAGAAAATCAGAGGGTGTGGCAAAAACTCAGTTCCTTTATATTTTGAATTCGAATATTACACGGTAAATAGTCCTCTTGGGTTTTGTATCACCACTAGCTAGAGAATATTTGGTTTGCTATGTTTGTATCTGCTTATTATACATACATGCAATACAAGTAATGAGTTTATATCTCCACCTCAAACTAGTTCTACATATATATTCAACTTTCAAATATGCATAAACCTCATTATACTGTACAGCAATATATCTTCTGCACTTTCTCTAGATATGTTGTTATTGCTGTACAGCAATATTTCTAATGCATTTTCTCTATATATGTTCCTTATTGCTGTACAGCAATCATTTTAGTGCATTTACTCTATATATGTTGTTTATTGTTGTACAGCTATCTTTCTTCTGCACTTTCTCTAGAGATGTTGTTATTGCTGTACAGCAATATTTCTAATGCATTTTCTCTATATATGTTGCTTATTGCTGTACAGCAATCTTTTTAGTGCATTTTCTCTATAAATGTTGTTTATTGCTGTACAGCAATCTTTCTCCTGTATTTTCTCTATATATGTGGTTTATTGCAGTACAGCAATCTTTCTTCTGCACTTTCTCTAGAGATTTTGTTATTGCTGTACAGCAATATTTCTAATGCATTTTCTCTATATATGTTGCTTATTGCTGTACAGCAATCATTCTAGTGCATTTTCTCTATATATGTTGTTTATTGCAGTACAGCAATCTTTCTTCTGCACTTTCTCTACAGATGTTGTTATTGCTGTACAGCAATATTTCTAGTGCATTTTCTCTAGATATGTTGTTTATTGCTGTACAGAAATCTTTCTTCTGCATTTTCTCTAGATATGTTGTTTTTGCTGTACAGCAATATTTCTAATGCATTTTCTCTGTATATGTTGCTTATTGCAGTACAGCAATCTTTCTAGTGCATTTTCTCTATATATGTTGTTTATTGCTGTACAGCAATCTTTCTAATGCACTTTCTCTAGAGATGTTGTTATTGTTGTACAGCAATATTTCTAATGCATTTTCACTACATGTATAATACATTGCTGTACAGCAAAATTTCATGTTAACTTTAATATGTACGTTACATTGCTGTACAGCAATATTAATGAGTACTTTATCTAAATAAACATTACATTACATTACACTGCACTGTGCAGCAATATTTTAAGTGTTGTTGTTTCATTGTTCGGATTAAAATAAATGGATGATTTTTTCCCTAAAACAGTATTTTTTATCCCGGATATAAATACTGGTGACGCTATTATGGTACAAAGTCGTACTGCTAACCATTTATCAAATGAGCTACTAAAATTTTCGAATCTTAGAATCATTTATTGAATTTACAAATAAAGATCTTAGCAAACTATTAAATGAAGATTTATTTCAAATCTTATTTTTAAGTTTTTATTTCTTAATTCTGACATTTGTTGGTATATGCTGGGTTAGCAAGGTTTGAACAAGATTAGAATTGCTAATATTAAGATTGTATTTAATAAATTCTCAACTAGTTTCTGCTCCTGGAGCAAGAATGTTGAAATCTGATAAATGAGATTTCAAGATTCTACTTTCTTCTCCTGTATAAAATATCTATTGGATATAAACGATGGATTCTTAATTCTGTTTGAACAGATCTGATATCTGAGATTTGATTGATTAACCTCTCTGTTTTTCAGGATTGCACATGTGGTTGTCGATGTGACTGTGATGGACTTGAACGACAATCCTCCAATGTTTGTAAACAAACCGTACTACGCCGTGATATCCCGGGAATCTGAGAGGGATACTCAGGTTATCCAAGTCATGGCTGTTGATCTTGACAAGGGCTCCAACGGTGACATTTACTACCAGCTGGTGCGGGGGAACGGAGATTTATTTAGAGTCGGCAGAAAATCTGGACGTATAACACTTAAACGAACCTTGAATAGTCCCCGAGAGGATTATATTCTAACTATCGCTGCATATGACGGTGGGAGTCCTCCCTACTCCTCAGAAACCCAAGTTCTTGTTAAAATTGTGGAAAAATCCGTCCCAACTTTTAGTGAACAGAGTTACAAAACCAGTGTACCGGAAAACGCAGAAACCTTTTCTCCGATCCTAACTACATCTGCAGTGAGTCCGACTAAAGGAGAGCTCATCTATACCCTGGAAACTGGAAACGAACTTGAAATATTCTCCGTGGACCATAGTGCCGGAGTATTGTTTGTAACTGAAGGGTTGGATTACGAGACTAGGCAACAGCATCAGCTCACACTCAGGGCAACAGATACAATATCCTCAGGGTATTCTGAATCTATAATATTCATCTCTGTCGAGGACGTGAATGATTGTTCCCCGAGGTTCCTTAATGATAGTTACTTTGTCTCCGTGTCTGAGGCTCAACCTCATGGATCCAGGATAATTCAAGTTCAAGCCGAGGATCTTGATTCAGGGGTGAACCAAGAGATACAGTACAGTCTTATGTCAGGACCAAACCAGTTCTCCGATCTCTTTTCAATAAACCCCAATACAGGAGAAATATTCCTGCTCCGGAACCTTGACTATGAAAGAGAAAAGTCTCATCATCTGAAAGTGTTAGCTACTGACAAGGGAACCCCACCAAGAACAGGAGATACAACAATTCAGGTATATGTAGAGGATAGTAATGACAACCCACCAGGGTTCGAGGAAGCGGAGTATCAGTTCTATCTCTCCAACGAGGCCAATAGAGGACAGTTTGTTGGGAAGGTTCGGGCCGTGGATCCAGACTTTAGTGATAATACCAAACTTCTATATTCTATAATCGGAGGAAATGAACATCAAATATTCTCTATAGAGGAGGAGACTGGAATGATAAGTTTGGTTAATCTGCACAACTTTGATAAAGTTCCAACTTATTCATTAAACATCACTGTATCAGACGGAGTTTACGCCACTACAACTAAAGTTAAAATTAATCTGTACTCTGGCAATAGACACAACCCTGTATTTGATAAATCTGTCGTGGAAGTAAAGTTCAATGAAAATTCTCCGGAGAAATCTAAGATAGTGAGAGTATTCGCTACAGACCTGGACGGAGATACGTTAAAGTATACAATTATCTCAGATGAAGCAAATAAACTGTTTGGATTGAATCCTGACACCGGAGAACTGATAAACCTAAAGATACTAGACCGCGAGGAGAAGGATAACTATGATATCCCTGTGATGGTGTCTGATATGAAGGGAAGGAATGGGTTCAGCAGGGTCAAAATAACAATAACAGATGAAAACGATAATATGCCTGTTTTCCCCCTGTCTGACTATAAAGTAAATATCCCGGCTAACCTGACCGCAGGTTCACAGCTTCTCCAGGTTACTGCAGAGGACAGGGATATAGGAAGAAACGCTCATCTCAAGTATTCCATCTACGATACAAGATCTTCCGGTGTAGATGATATTTTAAAGATCAATAAAGAAAATGGTCAGATATTTCTAAAGAAAGGAGCGAAGGAACTGGAGAACGAAGTTTATCAATTCTTTGTACGAGCTGAAGACGGAGGGAAGGAAACCCTGCACTCAGATATCCCTGTAGAAGTTTATATTATGAGTCCTGTAGACCATCCTCCCAGGATTGAAAAACGAGATTCTATATATTTGGTAGACGAGGGGAGTCCCGTAGGGAGGACCATTACCCAGCTCTCAGCAGTGTCTGCTCCAGATAGTCAGATACAATATAAAATTGCGTCAACTCAATATTCGGGTCCAGACGCTCTCTTCCAAGTAGACAATTCTGGCAGAGTAATTATTTCCAATTTATTGGACCGGGAGACTGCGGCTGTCCACAAGGTTGTAATACTAGCGGAAACAGATTCTAGCCCAACACTGAATGCCTACACCACCCTGACTATTCAGCTCCTGGATAATAATGATAACAGTCCTGAATTTATCTCATCAATGTATGAAGTGACGGTTTCTGAATCTGTTTCTCCGCATACTTCTATCCTGCAGGTGCACGCTACTGATCTAGACTTCTCAAACAATGGCGAGGTAACATACAGCTTTGCCGAGGAATCAAAACATTTAGCTCCATTGTTCAACATTGATCCACATAACGGTTGGATAACTACACAGGGAAACCTAGACTACGAGCAGACAGAATCCTACATCATAACCATCGAAGCAAAAGATAATGGAAAAGAGAGTAGAACTACGGAAACCAAGGTTTATGTAAATATTCTGGATACTAATGATAATCCTCCAGAGTTCAGCCAGAGGCAGTATTCTGCTGCGGTTAATGAAGGAGCATTGCCAGGAACTATTATTTTTCAGCTCCAGGTCCGGGACGTAGACAAGGATGCAAAGAGTCAGGTTACATTTTCCATAACCAACGGGGATACTCGGGGCAGGTTTCAGATTAAGCAGAACGGAGAGGTTTATGTTGCCCGTAGTTTGGATAGAGAGGAGACGGCAGAGTATCGATTAGAAGTAACTGCAACAGACGGATTGTTCGTAACAAGCTGCAGGGTTTCAATAGAAATATTGGACGATAACGACTCCTCGCCAACCTGCACACTATATAATTACAGACAAGAAGTCTCCGAAGGGATTCTTCCAGGGACGAATATACTAAGAGTATCTGCTGAGGATCAAGACGAAGGACAAAATGCAAGACAAGTATTTTCTTTATTGGGAGAAACCAAGGAATTGTTCAGCATAGATGCTGATACCGGTTTATTGACTACGTCCTTACTCCTCGATAGAGAAAAGACAGGACACCACTTACTAACAGTTAGAGTTGAGGATGCAGGGAACCCGGAATGGTTTTGTGAAAGTAAGATTGAGCTCACACTTACAGATACCAATGATAATCGTCCTAAATGGGACACGAATGAGTTCTCGGTCAGTATCCCTGAGGATGCAAATATCGGTCAGATTCTCACCAAGGTTCACGCTACGGACTCTGATCTAGGGGAGAACAGGATTATCACATACTCCTTCTTGGACTCTGCTGAGGGACAGTTCGAGATAGAATCCAGGAACGGTGTGATCACCCTCGCCAAGGGATTGGACAGGGAGACGGTGGATCTGTATAATCTCACAGTGAGAGCAATGGACTCTGGTAGACCCAGACTAACTGCAATCACTAATCTCCTAGTTCGTATCCTTGGTAAGTAAAAATGTCTATTTTATTTATCTAAATATGAGTCTTAAATGTTTTCTTGACATATCTAAAATATAAAATAGATGCAAAATTGCTAATAAAGTTTTGAACGTGTTAAAATGCAGTACCACATGTCATACAACTGTCAATTTTATTTTATTTTTTATCGACTTCGTTTTAATTTATTTTATTTCTAGATGTGAACGACAATCCACCCGAGTTTGCGAGTAAATATTACTTTGCTACTGTCACTGAAGGAGTTCTCAAGGGGACAGATGTAGTTCGATTGCTAGCTAGCTCCAGGGATACCGGAGTTAATGCTGAGATAAGATATTCTATCTCCGGTGGAAACCAGCACAACAAGTTTACTATTGACCCTTTCTCCGGCCTGGTCTCTGTTGCTGGTGAAATAGATTATGAGAGAGCTCGCGAATATTTCCTAACTATTATGGCGGAGGACGGAGGAACCCCTCCTCTCAACAACCATGCCACCGTTAATATCACTGTACTCGACGCTAACGATAATCTTCCCATCTTCACTTTGGCTTCCTACTCTGCCAGTATTAATGAGAAGTCTCCTGTAGGACGGAGAATAATCTCACTAACTGCTACTGATTTAGACAAGGTTAGTTTCACACTATTAGGTTTATTAATGTGGTTTATACAATACAATTGTTTACTGGTTCCACTAATCATCCATAACAGGCAATAAATTAAACCTTTCTTAGTTTAAACATTTCTCAATTTTATTGTTGAATGAATCGGCATTTTATTGGATATGGTGAACCATGGGTGTGGGTGGTTCCGGAGAGAGGTTCGATGTAAACCGTTCCACCCCTAACCAATCCGTGCAATCAGATTATACTCAGAACCATCCAAACAATGGAACTGTTAATTTATTTTATTGTCTCCGCCCAGGTTTTTGAAGATTCTATATTGGGGAGGGCGTTTTATCTTAAAAATATATTTTATTCATTTCTACTATACTAGACTTTTAGGGCGCTTCGCGCCCATCTTCTATTTAAATTTTAAAACAAAGGAGAAAAAATCCCGCCCCCCCCCTCTCCCTCGAAGTTTATTCTTAAATTGATAAGAAATGAAAGTGTGAAGCGTGTAATTACCATTTTAAAGTATTTAATTCAATTAATTTATTCTAAGACTAGTGCACTTACATAGTCTTAATTCCCACCTAACCCTGCACTTTGGACTCCACAGTCTCAAAGCAATGTTTCGAAATTATTAATTAAAATTTTCAACTTTCCTTTTTCAAAAAATTCCACAAGATCAAAAATATTCTTCATCAAAATTTTCTTTAAAAGTTTTTGCTTGTTGTATTTGTCTTCACTGATATATTTGGTTATTTATTTAGTTCAGTTTTTTTGTTTGTTTGCATCTAGATTGGTAGTTTCTTTATTGATAATCCTGTTTATTTGTGTTTGTTGATATTTATATTTGTGTTAGATCTATTGTTAAACTTGTTGTATGGATACCATTTCTAGTCCAGTGTTTAGTTTTCAATTCCTGGGTTGTGAACAGAATATTTAGCGAAAGAATGTTTCAATCTGAACTATCTTTGACAGGCGAGGAATTAAGGATCGTATATATATTTATAAGGATGAATATGTCGACAGGTTTGATAAGGGTATACAAGATGAATATATAAATATTCATGTTTACAGCGTCCATCAACATACTTTTATTTTATATCCGGCCTCCAGGTTTACAGGATTCATCTAGACATCGTCCAGGTTTATAAATCTTAGTTTCCAGAATTCATATGAGGCATCATTGTTCCAGTTTTATGAAACCTTAGTTCCCAGGATTCATGAAGATATAATTCCTCCAGGTTTCTGAAACCTTAGTTCTCAGGATTCATGAACATATAATTTCTCCAGGCTGCTGAAACCTTATTTTCCAGGATTCATATAGACATATCTTATACAGGTTAATGAAACCTTAGTTCCCAAGATTCATGTGTAGACATATCCACTTCAGGTTTCTGAAACCTTAGTTTCCAGGATTCATATAGACATCTTCTACAGGTTAATGAAACCTTAGTTTCCAGTATTCATGTAGACATATCTTTTTCAGGTTAATGAATCCTCAGTTTCCAGTATTCATGTAGACATATCTTCTACAGGTTAATGAAACTTTAATTTTCAGGATTCATGAAGACATAACTTCTCCAGGTTTATGAAACCTTAGTTTCCGGGATTCATGTTAACAAAGTGGTCCAGGTTTTTGAAATCTCAGTTTCCAGGATTCATGCTGACATAATTTCTCAAGGTTTTTGTTAGTTTCCGGGATTCATGTAGACAAAGTGGTCCAGGTTTATAAAACCTTAGTTCCCAGGATTCATATTGACATGATTTCTCAAGGTTTATGGTAGTTTCCGGGATTCATGTAGACAAAGTGGTCCAGGTTTATAAAACCTTAGTTTCCAGGATTCATGTAGACATAATTTCTCAAAGTTTATGGTAGTTTCCAGGATTCATGATAACATAGTTTCTCTAAGTTAACAAAGTTTCTCTAAGATTATGAAACCTTAAATTTCTTGGATTTATGTAGATAAAACTTCACCAGTTTGTTTAATACAACTTTAGCTTCCAGGATTAGTGTTAGAAATGCTTTCTCTGGGTTTGTAAAATCATAGTTTCTATAAGTGATGTAGAAATATTTCTCTAGGTGTACGAAACTCCTCAAAGTTCTACATAATTTATCTAAGGCTTCTGGATTAACAAAAACAATTAATAGTTAATATATTGGTCATGATATTTGTTCTCCGAGGTCTATAAAACATCTAGCTTAAGTTTCAATGTTTTCTTAAGATTTTTCAGCTAAGTTCTTGAAAATGTTTCGGGTTTATTGTTCCCCAAGTAGTTTCGGTTCTTTCATACATTTAAGTTTTGTTTGTTTTTACTCCGCAGGAGTATGTGAAGAGAGGGGAAAACTTTCACGTGTAAACTATTTTCATTCTTGAAAACATTTTTCAAAGTATCTTTTATGTTGGGGGGAATTTCAGACCGGCGGAGACAGAAAAATTGTATTTGCTAGCGAGTGTGTGTTTTTAAAGGAGGGGGGGGGGGGCTAATTATGTCTTCTCTTAAGTTAAAAATCTGAACGATTTCTCTATTAGGGATTATATAAAATTTAGCTTTTTCTCTTTCTGTTTATATTCACGATCAATATTTGAAGATGTAAACAATCCTGAGGGTTATTCAATACCTCGCTTCGACTGCTTATTCATCCCAGCCATAAACAAACTTTAATAATTCATTATATTTATATTCCAGGGAATGAACGGAAAGATAGTATATGAGCTGGTACACGGAGACAGGTTGGGACAGTTCAGGATAGATCCAAACACTGGAGAACTATTTCTGAACCAGTCCGTGGACAGAGAGATGGTTTCCAGCTATGGTAGGTTCTTTTGATATATATATAAAAAAATTAAAGACAGAAATAGATATTTTATAACACCGATCTTTAGTCTTTCTCATTATGACTGACCAGCGCGCTACTNAAAGGACATATAACCCTCTACTCCCTCCTAAAGGACATATAACCCTCTACTCCCTCCTAAAGGACATAAAACCCACTACTCCCTCCTAAAGGACATATAACCGTTACTCCCTCCCTAATTACCTATAATCCTCTACTCCCTCCCTAATTACCTATAATCCTCTACTCCCTCCCTACACCCTCTTCTCCCTCCCCATAGCCTCTACTCCCTCCCCGTATACTCTGGTTCCTCCCCAAGGACCTATTTTGTTGTTATAACAGTTTCCGCATTATATTCCCGAACTGTAATAAAAGAGCCAGAGAAAATTGAGAACGGTCTGGGATCTAAAAAAATATTTTTATATTCTTGATTATTTAGTATCAAGTCTTTCTTTTGTTAACTTGTTTGGCGGTTTTTATTCATCAAATTTTAAGTTTTTAGTTTTTTTATTTTGAAAATGAGAAAGTATACCCAGTCTCCTTTGTTTTATTCATTCAATTTGATGCATCCCAAACTTTTTTAGTTTATGCATTACATCCGTCCCAAGCTATTTAAGATAATGTGTTCAATGCATCATGGCTAATATCTTAGGGACACTAATGTTCTCATTTATTTAGGTCTGCGGGTTTCAGCAAAACTAATTTCAATTTTATTATTTAGTTGGGTTATTTTCTTTCTTTTGAACAGAGACCATACAAATAATATATTCAATTTTCAATTTTATTCTTCTTACGACTATATTTTTCTAACTGAGATAACCTCCACACTATTCTCTTGTTCTTCTTGTATAATATCAAACATGGAAGATACAGAGCTAGACAATAAGATGAAACCGAACCCGGAGCCAGGATTTCCTGTCGTCAATCCTATTCATCTCTCCCTGGTTTCTTTCCATTTGTTTTAGAAATGAAATATATTTCTAAACCTAGTTAAGGATGGGTCGGAGGAATAGCATAGTTTAATTCCTAGTTTAAATCTGGGAACTCTGGGCCTAGCAACAGAATCTTAAAGCGCATATTTGCCAAGTTTTGGTATTTACAGAAGAGTTTCAGAGCTTAAACTAAATTTGCTGATTACTCTGGCTAAACAACAGGAATACAAAAATATAAACAAATCTGTCCTTGTAAGTTTGTGTACTCAACTTGACAGAAACTATGATTTCTTTTTTTAAAAGTATGTATTATAATAGTTTATGAGTTGTATATGTTTATAATAAATCTAACCTATTATTTCAGTTCTTGAGGTTCAAGCTCGCGATCACGGAGATCCTGTCCTTACATCCTCCGTCCTGGTCAACGTGAAGATTGAGGACGCCAACGATAATCCTCCAGTTTTCCCTGAAGGGAACTATACTGTATATGTCCAGGAGGATAAACCCTACGGACACATCCTTCTAACCTTCTCCGTCACGGACGCAGATGAATCTCCGAACGGAGTACCATTTTCCTGGTTGGTATTTATGCTTATTCAGAATAAGATCAATTAAATTAAAATCAGTCTGTACACCAATTTTGTGTACATACTAGTGTAGTGGTGTTATTAAGAGGAGTACATATATTAGACAAATTCAGTGCAGTACACAACTCTTCGAAGATTTTATCTTTGTCAACATTATAAACAAATATCTAAATTCTAGAACACTTAATCCAAAAAATGAAATTTAGTTCAAAGGGAGTGTTTATGAATTTTGAACTGATTTCAATATAATGTTTCTGAAAAAAAATGTTTTACATAAACTATGTCTGGGCCACTTTTTTCAATGGTTGCTGTGGATAATTTAATTCAAATATACGTAATTTTCACAATCCAAATGTAAAGATAAAAAGTACCGATTATCGCAGTGTCATCTTTAAAATCTGAACACTCCCTTTAAAGTTAACCGGTAATGGTAGTTCCCCCGGGGTTTGACATTTGAACAATCAATCTGAAAAGGAATTGAAAGTTTCCCTTCTTTCATTCTAAACTCTAAACCCTGTCATATTCGTATATTCGTAAGAAGTTGAAAACTTGTATTTAACCTCGTTTTTACTGGAAAACTTGGGATTTGCAAAGTTGACCATATTTCAATTTATCCAGGGATATCCGGGCTGGGAACGAGGATGGTGGGTTTCGGATGGTTCAGGACGGATCTCTCAGAACGGCGAAGAAATTCAATCACAAGCTGCGAACCCAATATATTCTGCAGATCAGAGTTTTCGACAATGGAGCCCAACCTTTGTACTCAGACACATACGGTAGTTATAAAAAGATATTATGAATAACTTGAAAAATTATTAGAGTTTCGTTTAATAACTTTTCTATCAAACTTTTTTGTTTTAGTTACTGTGAATATCATCGAGGAGAGTCAATATCCACCCGTCCTCACCCCTCTAGAAGTTGAAGTTTTTTCCTTCCAGGACGAGTTTCCAGGATCTGTTATCGGAAAGGTTCACTCCTCTGACCAGGATCCGTATGATGTTCTGGGTTATGAAATTGTTCCTGCTTACAGTGTTCCAAACATGCATTACCATCTGAGGATGTTTGAGATAGATCGGCGAACTGGAACCTTGTTGGCTATTCAAGGTTTAGACGTGGGAGAATATAATCTTAACATCTCAGTTTCCGACGGAAAATTTGTTTCCTTCCAGAAGACCCGAGTTACCGTAAACCTGGTAACCGAAACTGTTCTACAGAACTCGGTTGTGATTAAGTTCTCTCAGGTTTCTCCGGAAGAGTTTATTCGGAGTTATAAAAAGAATTTTGTGGGTATTGTTAAAAATCTTTTCAATGTGAGATCAAAAGATGTTGAAGTACTAGGGCTTCAGCCAACCTTCACAGGAGAAAGGGGAACAAGGACCCTAGAGGGAAGAGAAAGAAGGGAAACTGAAGAAATAATTAAGAATCAATTGTCCCGTCAACCCAACCTGGAATTGCTCCTGGCTGTAAAGAGGGATAATTCAATACACTTCTCAAGGGACGAAGTAAAAAAATCTTTGAATTCAAAACTGCTCTCCGTGTCTGCTCAAGTAGGATTGAAGATACTGGAGATCAGAGAGGAGCTGTGCGAGGAGACTTCCTGCGTGAACGGAAAATGTCGGGATTTAATTACAATGTCCGAATCTCAGGTTGTAACAGTCGCGACGGACGTGAGTTCTCTTGTTTTTCCACAGTTTGAATACCGAACCATCTGCGAGTGCAAAGTTGGTTTTTCTGGAGAGCACTGTGATAAGATTGCAAACGAATGCCACCGTGAGCCCTGTCCGTCCTTCAAGGTTTGTGTCCCTGATCAAACTCCTGAGGGTTACTCCTGCCTATGTCCGACTGGCTTTACCGGTACAGCCTGTACTGTAAATATTTCTACCTGTGCACACAGTAAGTGCACGGTTGTAAATCCAATACAGTTCTCAGGACGAAGCTATGCTCAGTATACTCTTAAAAGAACCGTGGAACGTCACCTTAGTGTTAGTATTGGATTCAAGACTCTATTCAGCGTAGCAACACTGATGTACGCTCAGGGATTAGTTGATTACAGTATCCTAGAGATATCCGATGGCAAGCTTCAGTATAGGTTTAATTTTGGCAGCGGAGAAGGACTGGTCAGGTTGAATGAAAAGATAGTAAATGATGGAGAATGGCACGAGGTCAAATTAGAGAGACATGGAAACAGTGCAGAGCTTGCTGTTGATGGGAAGTGGAGAGTTCATGGAGCAGCTCCGGGTTTAAATGATGTTTTAAACCTGGACCAAAGTGAAGTTTTCTTCGGAGCAGATACATCTGTACTAGACTCATCCAAGGAGGGCAGAGCTGTTACTAGAGGGTTTGTTGGATGTATGGATGATATCAAGCTAGACCATGAACCTGTCCCTCTCCACGTCAGTGGGGACAGTCCTGTAGCAAAACTGAAAAGATTCATGAATATCGAGTTTAAATGTGAGGCACTACTTCCTCCTGGAGTCTGCGGTAGTCATCCTTGCAAACACGGAGGAACCTGTCTGGAGCTTGACACTCCGTCAGGGTTCGCTTGCACCTGTCCGTCCAGGTTTTCCGGAGCAACCTGTGAGTACGACCTGGACCCGTGCTCCTCCAACCCCTGTCTCCATGGTGCCAAATGTGTAAATTTAAAGAATGACTATCACTGTGAATGTCCGACGAAGCTGAGTGGGAAGAGATGTCATTACGGGAAGTACTGCAACCCCAACCCCTGTGAGAATAAGGGTGTATGTGAGGAGGGACAGAACGGATCTATCTGTAAATGTCGAGGTTTCACCGGAGAATTCTGTACTATTGATGTTAACGAATGTCAGCATCAGAATCCTTGTCATAATGGTGGAACTTGTGTAAATTCTCCTGGAGGTTTCCATTGCATCTGTACAGGTACAAACTATTATTTTTTCTATAGTAAAATACGTTCATTGAGAGCGGTTTAAATCATACCTTTACTAAAACTGAAAACAATGTGTGTTTTCTTTCTTAATAAAAGTTTAATTCTAACAGATAATTCAATCAACATAATTCTGAAAATATCTAAAATTGAATATTGAATTCTTGAAATATGAATTCTACTTCAGTTAACATAAATCATAAACATATATTTTAGGAAATAGTACGGGTGTTTACTGCAGTGAATCCGCCCATGTATCATTGGTTCCTAGAACTTATGCACTCACCCTAGAGGAGGTTGTTGGAATTATTCTCAGTCTTTTCATCATAGTCGTTATAGTCGCTCTCTTCGTGGGATGTGGTCGACTCCGGTCTAAGCGTGACAGTAGGACGAGGAATAATACCATGAATATGATTCAGAATGATATAAACCGAGATACAAAGAAGAAAGGACGGAACGGAGTTCAAAAGATGAATAATTATGAACTTACTGCTAGAGAGCAGGATATACCATTACTCCCACAGAGACCCGTTTCTATTTCTCCGTCTGTAAGTGAAACCCCATTCAATTATATGGATACAGTGCGGAGTTATGGATCCGCTGCAGATGAGCTTGAAACTCTACCTAGACTTCCGAATGATTACTTTCAGAATATTCAGAAACCCATCGCTACTGTTGCTCCATCAATGATTGCAGATCGTGACATGAACCTCAAAGACAACTACTTTTTGAGGAAAAAGAGTCCTGGCCTAGATTCAACCCGTCCTAGCTCCTCCAGCAGTTATATGTTTAGAGCTAACAAACTTCGGGTGAATCTTCCACCAGACGGCGAGGAAACTTGTCAATCTGAGTTGTCAATGGAAGACGATTGCCAGAGATATCACTGGGATTGCTCCGACTGGGCAAACCAAGCTACTCTTCCAGCCTTGTCTGAGCTCCCTAACGGCGAGATCCTTGAAAACTGTAGTTGGTTGAGTGGTATTCAACGAAACAGTTCTCAAGGGATAAACCAAGCTGACAGACCATTCAACCCTGCCGAACCTGTTGATCCAACACGTGATATTGAAACACTGCCGGAGGATGATACAGAGACACCAGAGGATCCAGACGGAGTATCTCAGTATAATTCAGAGTGCGAGTCTCAGCTGGGAGCTGTTTATCCTGATGAAGACAGTCCTGTTCATGAGACAAATAAATCAATCGAGGAACTCATGATGATCAATGGAGTCAATTATGTTGATGACGATGAAGAAAGTGTGGAGATCCCGAACAGCTACGATTACAAGCTGCACCTAAACAATTACCTTCCAACCTATCACCTTGGGTCGGATCCTGATACAGACGAAGCAACTCCGATGCTAGGACGCCACCAGATGGGTCGTCTTTACCAGCAACGAAGCCCAGACTTGCAGAGATACGCAGTTCTCGGAGTTTCTCAGCTACCAATATCTCAAGCTAAGAACTCAGTTTTTCCAGTTCGTGGAGCTGTACTGTCTCCGACCAAGAGTGGCGAAGACGACGAGGACCAAGTTTGTGAAATTGAAGACGCTGGAGAAGAAAACGAGGCGAGTGCTTTCAGGAGACCTCCAAGTCCCAGAGTTACACAAGTTTAAAGTTAATTTAAAAGACTTTGCAACAAGTTTTATCAAGGTTTGGCGCATTTAACTAACCCACTATCACTTTGATGGCCAGAAGAGAAGACTTATATGTCCTTGTAACATGAGAATCAATGCAATCGCTTCAAAATTCAAGCAACCTTAATCGGTATCATACATTCAGCTGCTAAACTACATTATTTGTTAAATGTCATGGGTAACAATAAATTTATCGTATTTACTTGTTTTTATTCATTTGCAATATTGCGAGTAAATTTTTCGAATACAAAAAAAATCAAAATAGGTTAAGTACCCACCAAGAATGAGACATCATGACCTAAGATTTTAAATATATCAGTTTAAAGGTTAGATTTTGTCCACTAATATGAAAATAGTCGATTAAAGGAGCTATACAATTATTTTGCTAAAAAAGTGTAAAGCTGCGGGGAACCATGGTTGTTAAAAATGGTTCCTAACTATGTACAGCCGTTTCTGAAGTCTAGTTATTTGCAAGTAACCCTATAGGTTAAACCATAGATATCGTCTAAATCCTGTCACAATTCTGATGGTGTAATCTCAAGTTGGATTGGATGGTTTTAGTGATCAAGTGTGAACTTGCTAGGTTATCGTTCCTGAATAAAAACTCTGGTTAATCTTCTTAGCACGTCATTTATCTTTATTCGATTATTCCTGGTGTATGCCAACCTTGAGTATTTGGCATTTGGAAACCTTTCTCTGGGAATCACAATTAGCAGGAGAAGCAGAAAATCTCTGTTTGTCCTAATCTTCAATCCTAACTTTTTCTTTAATGTTAAGCAAATAAGTTCTTAGACCATAGTTAATTTTTTTCATAGAAGTTAGAATTTTCCATCCTGTATCATAGAACCTCACATCCTGTATCATAGGATCTCACATCCTGTATCATAGAACCTCACATCCTGTATCATAGGATCTCACATCCTGTATCATAGAACCTTCCATTCTGTATCATACAATCTTTCATCCGGTATCATAGAAACCTTCCATTCTGTATCATACAATCTTTAATCTTCTATCATAGAACGTTCCCTCCTGTATTATCGAAACATCCATCTTGTATCGTAGAACCTACCATACAGTATCATAGAACTTTCCATCCTTGATCATAGAAACCTCCATCCTGTATCCCACAATCTTCAATCTTGTATCATAGAAGCTTCCATCCTGTATCATTTATACTACCATCTTGTATCAAATAGCTTTCCATTCTGCATCATAAAACCTTCCATCCTGTATTATAGAACCTTCCATTTTGAATCATTAAACATTCCATCTTGTACAGGGTGTCCCAATAAACATGGGAATTCAGTGACGAATTCTATATCGTCTTTTTAAGTAATTCTTTGATTTAGTATAGTGATACCTACTGTAGAGTAAACTTGTCCGTCTTCACTGTTCATCTTGCGGAGACATTATAGACACATCTTTACAGTCTTTTACCCTTTTCATAAAATAAACTCTAGCAGACATAATAATATTAAGGCTTTTGAAATTAGGTATTACAATGCTAATTCATNATTATAGAAACCTCCATCATGTATAATAGAACCTTTCATCCTGTATCATTGAACCTTCGATCTTGTTTAATGAGAACAAGAAAACTGGGGAATAGGATGATGATACAAAGCAAATATGTTACTTGTAAATTATAGATTCACTTGTTAAGTTAAGTTTACGCTAAACAATTGCTGTGTTTCGTGTTAATTGGGCCATTAAAAGTCCTATCTTGAGTCTATAAGTCGTCTCCCTTTCCTTTTCTTGTATCAAAGATCAAGTTTTCCATTCTGTATTATAGATCCGTCCCTCTTGTATCATAGATCAAGTTTGCCATTCTGTATCATAGATCCGTCCCTCTTGTATCATAGATCAAGTCTGCAATTCTGTATCATAGATTTATCGCAAAGTAAATACAGTGGAAACCCGGAGGCAAAATTGCGTTTAAATTTGCTAGCACCGAGAATCTTAGATTTTACAGAGAATGAAGTTTAAACACAAAAATTAAATGGTTCTTGTGAGAAAACTTGAGCTAGTTAAGCTTTAAGACTTGAAGGCATTATTCAGATTTAGATTTTTATTTATGGGAATTTCAGGAAAAATTATTCTAGCTCAGTTTTCATCTTTATCTGATTTTACAAATCAGATTCAAATTTCTTGATAAAGTTTTATTTATAGATTATCTAAGACATTGCAACGTGACGTTTGGTTATCCTTCGATGAAGGATGCTAGCAACATTTCATGAGATTACCCATTTATCTATGTGGTAAAGTTATGAAAAAGAGCGCCTGGTATCGTAGAGAAAAGCTGTTCACCGTTAATTGTCTCGTCGGCTAGAATTTAGAAATAATATAACATTATGAACTTATACTGTATTAAAAACAACAAAATATATTCATATATTCACAATATTTTAGCAAAATGAGAAAATGTTGTGAAAGCCATGAGTTTTAAAGCTGCAATAATTAATTGCTTAAAAGAACTTGTGGAATTCTTTGTTCTGATAGCTCAATATTTGAAGTTTTGTTATGTCATATAAATAATTTCTCTTCCTTTACTTTAATTCCTTTAATAAATGTTTGATGAAGAAAATTTGATTTCACTAGCTATCTTTTTAAGTTTCCGAATTATTTTGGTTCTTCCCGTAGTAGATTTTATTTTGTGTTTTAAGAAGAAAGATCTTAACGGTCGAGAAAGTATTTTCAAGTAAATCTATGAATTGTCTGATGTCTCCTAGTCGTTCTTAAATCTATATTTATATTTTGTGGTTATCCATCAATTGGGCTCGCGGATAAATCCCTCTTTGGAAATGAGTCTTGTATTCTGAAAATTTAGTCTTTTTTGATGAACTTTCGCCACCTTTTCGCTAAAATTTCACATTTGTTTTGAAAAATTCGCTATTTTTAGCGTAGATTTTCGCATTATTTTATCGTGAAATTTTCGCACTATTTTTTCGCGTCGCATTTTTTCAAGATATTTTCGCATTTTCTTTTTCGCGAAAATGTCGCATTTTTTCGTGGAACAGATTGAAGCGAAATGTCGTATTTTTCGCGAACGAACGAAATGCGAAAATGAAGCGAAATTTTCGCGTTTCGCGAAAAGCCTTTTCGCTGGAAACCATAGATGTAACCTTATTGTAACTTTGAAATTAGGTATTTATAATGTCAAGTCTTAACAAACACGATCTTGAATTTGTCACTCAATTCTAAGATTAAATTAAGTTTTTTTCTAGGAACTTAGTATTTTCATGGCCTTTTTTAATGATTGCAGCCAAAAAATAACCAAATTTACAGTTGCATGCAATCATGAGTTTAAGGAAACAGTCAGTGTTTATTCTGTAAAGTCGTCTCTGAAGTTTCTTCCTTTGTGGGTGACCATGTTTGACATCCGAAGACGCAGCTTGTCAATTTTGATATAAAATCGGTGATATCCCAATTATGCATGATCTGGTAAGTTTCAGCGTATACCGATGTGACTGTTTTTGTATTTATTATTACTATATGTGTATTGTGTACATGTAAAGGAAGGGTTATTTGAAATAGTGCAATAGTCTCTTTAACATTTGATTATAAAGTATTCTGTTCAAAATCCGATAAAAGTCAAAGTAAATCTGACACAATGTCACATTAATCAATAATCATTCCAAATATATTTCCAGAATTCTGTCCGCTCACCTCAGATTCAGAAGAAGAATTAAAAGGAAAAAAAGAAAAAAATCTTCCCGTAAAAAAACTGAGAGATAAAAATTGCTCGCTGGATTCTTTCTTTTTCCACATTCTGAGGTGTTGGGATATTTAATAGAAAGACATTTCTTAGATAACAAAATCATAGATAGGACATTTCATAGACAGAATATTTAATAGATAGAAAAAGAAATTCATAGATGGGACATTTCATAGAAAGGATTTTTCATAAACAGATAATTTCATAGACATAGAAAATTTTTCATATATAGGTACGAGAACTTTATAGACAGAAAAGTAACGTTAATTCATTAGATAAGATTACTTTAATAAAAAATATTCTCTGTCAACGAAATGTACAATCTATAAAATGTCCTGTCTATAAAACTTCCTGTCTATGAAATGTCCTTTCTATGAAATTTCTTCTATAAAGTGTCCTATCTATGGAATGTCCCAACACCCATTCTGAAACTCGTTGGATGTTTTCGCCACTTTCCTGGACTAGCTTAATTTCTTCGTATCTTATTTGGTGCTTGCTGGATATTTCGCCATTTTCTGGGACTCGCTTTATGGTAGACTTGGTAGATTCGTTGTCAATCTTCTAGGGCTCGCTGGATTTTTCATTCAAATCGTGAGTTCAAGGTCGTCGTCTCAGGTTCTGTAAAGAACCTTGAGAGAACTTAAAGTCTTTTTAGGTTTGGTGTACACTGTAGATACATACAGTGTTTATTTACAGAAAAAAATAACAGAATTCATTAAAGAGAGAAACATTTTACAAAATGGTTTCCTTCTGCCAAAGATCTTTTCGTTAGTTTAGTTTATGGGATTGCAATCTGCAAGTGCAGAGCTGCAGACAAATTATTAGATTCAGAGAGAATAAGAGTTTCTAGAGCCTTTTTTCACCAATTTTGTAGATTAGAGTGTGGGGGGGAAGGCAAGCCGCACCCGTATAGCCTCCATCCCGCAATTTACTCACAAACATAGACTTGCGGCAGCGAGCTCGCCTGTGGCGCTTCCTTAGCTGCACCCATATGTCTTCCGGCAAAATTTCTGCGAGTGAGCGCGTTGCCTAAAACCTACGTTTGTGAGTAAATTGCGGGATGGAGACTATACGGGTGCGACTTGCCTTCCATCCCTCGTAACTGTTCACCAGTTGCAACATTTGACTAAAGATGATTAATTATGAACATGAAATATATTTTTGAAGTTAGTTTCAGGTTGTAAACACTGTTTGAACATAAACGATTCTGATCATTAACAATGTGTGTTGTTAGCGACGGCTAATAGGTGACGCTCCCGTCTGACAGATTTCATGGTTTAATCCCGTTCAAGTTTTTTAGAACTTGATATTATCATTTGTAAAGAGATATCAGTTTATAGAACTTAATATTATCTTTTGTAAAGAGATATCAGGTTTTAGAACAGTTTCAAATATAAAATTACTAACAGCACTTTTTTGTTTTAACAAAGTACCCGTTCTATGACTTTAACTGCCTTTCAATGCCAACTCTGTAAATCTTTCTC